ATAAATGACAGGCAGCCAGCAAAAATAAAACAAACAAACAAACAAACAAATAAATAAATAAGTGGTGTGATTACTATTACCTTACTTCTCTGTCTTTTCCTTGCCAGGGCCAGACTATTTTCCCTGCTGCTTTTCCTGCCCCCTATTGAGCTGGGCCCCCCCTCAGGCACTAAAGCCTCTCCCTTTAGTAACACAGACTTTGGAGGCTGTACCAAATGAGAAGTCTGTCTCTTGGCTGTATAATGTTCTACAAGTCACTTAACCTCTCTGCACTTCAGTTCCTGATATGTCAAAATGAGAACCAACATGCCCAGAATCATTCGCAGACAAATCAATGGCACAGAAGAATGGGTGGGAAGGCTATTGTTATAGATTAAAAGAGATTAATGAGACAAAATCAACAACATGCCCTGTGTCAGACTTTATTTGGATCAGATTTGGACAAACTGTAGAAAGGCATTTGAAACAATTAGCAAGCTCTTAAAATGGTCTGGAATTTAGATAGTGCTATTAAGAAATTATTGTTATTTTTGCTAGATATGGTAATGGCATGGTGATTATGGAAAACAATCCTGATCAGTTAGAAATCCTTATCAAAGTGTTTATGGGTGAAATGACTTGATGACTAAGACTGGCTTTGAAATATTCCAGAAGAAAGAAGTATGTGGGGGGAATTATAGATGAAATAAGATTGGAGAAACATAAAGGATGAAAGTTGGATGAGTTCATTTATACTATCTCTCTACTTTTATATGTTTGAAATTTTCACTAATAAACAGTAAATTGAGTAAACAAGGAGATTGCAGAGAGGAAAGCAGTAAAATGTAGTAGTTAAAAGCTTTGGGCTCAGATGCACCACTGATCTGAATTTGTCTCTTCATTTGTCAATCCATATTTTGATAGAATGCTCCAATAACTGGTAATGACACTTCCTGTTTCCGATGCTGGCTCACTGGCCGGGGTTGTTTGGCCAAGTGCCTTAATGTCCCTGAGCCTCTGTAGCTCAGCTGCAAAACGGGGAAAATCATTACCCCTGTCTTACTGAGTTATTTTGAGGATCAAACAGGTGGATGAATAGAAAGGGCTTAGTACAGTGCTTAGTATGCCATAGGCACTCAATAAATGCTTCACTGTGAGGAGCACAGGTTTAGGAGGATGTGAACCCCAGCTCGGCTCTGCCACTTGTGACTTTGGCCAAGCCATTAACTCTCTGAATCTCATTTCCTCCTGAGAAAAACGATCAGAATACCTCCCTTGCAGGACTGTTGTGAGGATGAAATAACAGTACATGTTTTGATGCCCAGCATGGCCCATGTGGGAATTTCCCTTCCCCACCCCTTGACTTTCAGCGGTGCTGGCCTTGCCAACTCCCAGGCTGGAGTCGATCCCACTGTCCATTTGCTTGGCTTTTGCACCTAGACTGCCAAGTGTGGCTGGGGATAGTCAACAGAATCATGTGAGTTGCTCTTCACAAATGACAATGTGTTAGGAAACATCGTGAGGCTCCTCTACTTCCAGGCAGCTTTCCTCCTCTCTCGGGCACTTCCTCCTGTGTTTCATGCTTTCCGGTCCAAACTTTTTCCGCCACTCACTCATGCTACCACCGCTTCTGCCTCAAAAGTTGACCTCAACTCGCTTGACCGAGCTTGTCAATGTGAGCACCTTTCTCTCAACTTTCCAGCTCCTCTTATTCTCACCTCCATCTTTCCCTCTCTCTTACCCACCCATCTCAACAGTCCGATTGTCTGTCTCCTTCCCAGCTCCTCAGAATTTACTCCATCACCCCCTTCCCAGTCTTCCGGTACTTTCTCTCCACTGGCTGCACCCTCTCAGACAAAAAAACAAAACAAACAAATGAACACACACACAAAAAACTTGGTTAAGTACCTTAATCTCCCTCAAGTCTGACAGCAACCCTGCTGCTCTCTTTAATTCACACATTCACTTGTTCACTCATTTAGGAAATATTTGTTAAGTGCCTACTACGTGCCAGGCACTAGAGGTAAAGAGACCGTCTTTGCCCTTAAGGTCTTCCAAGTCCAGAGGAAAAGTCGAACTCACAGATGTGAGGATGACAAGTGAGATGCAAAGGTGGACCCGCGCTGCATGGTGGGATTGACTAGGAGCGCCGTGGGAGGACGGGGGAGCCCAAGGATGGCTCTCAGCCTTCTGGTCTGTGTAGATGTGTGGATGGTAGAGCTTCTCATTGAGACATGAAACAAGGAAAAAGGAAGGAGGAGGTCAGTGTGAGGGGGGATGGTGTGTTCTGTTTGGGGTGCTATTGGAACATCTCAGGAGAGATCTCCGGTAAATCTTCAGTTTAAGGCAGGGAGCTGGAATTTGGGATTTGAGGGCCATTAGCATACAGAAGTTGGAATCATGAATGTATATAGAGTGTTCTCTGCTGCGAGAGACAAAATAAGTACCCTACGATATTTGTTAAGTTACATCTCAAATAGTCAAGAGGTGGGCACTTCCAGGGGTGTGTAACCCAGAAGTATAATGACCCCTCTTTGTCCTTGTCTAGTCCCTCTTTGTCCTTCTAAAGGAGCTAATGTCTTCCTCAGACTTGTCCTGTCTTGGATGCAAGACTGAAAAAAAAACAGGTCATGTGAACAAGGAAGGGATGGCCTCTTTTCAACCCTCTTCCCCCTGGCCTGGCAGTGTGGAACTATACAGTTCAGCAGACACATGAGGAACTTGGGCTCTTGGGTCAAGCATATCTGGGTTCATGTCCTCGGAGCCACTTCTTGCAAGCTGGGTGACCTCATACAAGTTGTTTTACCTTTCTGTGCCTGAGTTTCCTCAGGTTGACAGTAAGGAATGTATATGTTTGTTCTTTGCCCAGTTTCTGGCTCACAGCTCCTTAAACCCTTAGAATATCTAAGTGCGGAGAGTAATGAAGGTGTCTTTTGTTATGTGAATGAGGTGACTCGGAAGCACCAAAGGGCAGGGGGCTGGTTGCCAGGAGAACCTGCCATGTGATTAGAGAGCTGAAACTTTCAGTCCCATCTGTCTCTCACTCTGGGCAGGGGAGAGGGGCTGGAGGTTGAATCAATCACCAATAGTTAATGAGTTCATCAGTCAGGCTTACGTACTAAGGCTTCCGTAAAAACCCGAGGACGGGGTTTGGAGAGCTCCTGGGTTTAGGAACATGTGCTGGTCCTGGGAGAAGGGCGCCGCTGGAGAGGGCATGGCAGCTCCACACCCCTTCCTGTGGACCTTCCCTTATGCATCTCTTCCATCTGGCTGCTCCTGAATTTTATCCTTTCCTAATAAACCCTTCATCGAGTAAGTGAAATCTTCCTCTGATTTCTGTGCTCCTCTCTAGTAAATTAATTGAACCCATGGAGAGGGCGTCATGGGAACCTCTAATCTGTAGCCAGTCGGTCAGAAGCGCAGGTAAGAGCCTGGGCTTGTGGCCAGTATCTGAAGGAGAGGGTGGTCTTGTGGGGCTGAGCCCTTCACCTGGGTAGATCACAGCAGAATGGAGTGGAATTCTTGGGCACCCTGCTGGTGTTTCAGAATTGTTTGTTGGTATAGAGGAACCCCTCCCCCCATGTTGGAATTGGGTCCAGGAAGCCTTTACAGGGTTAGAGTAGGTTGTTTTCATTGTTGAGATGATAGAATGAAATGATACATTCAAAGTTCTCAGCACAGTGTCTGGCACATAGTAAGTGCTCGGCCAAAACTAGCCATTAACACTTTTGGGGACCAGCCTCTCCTGGAATTTCTCCAGCCCTTTGTCTTCTAAGCCCCTCCTCTTTCTCTCACTGGTCCCCCCCTTCTCCTCCTCACTTCCTCCCCTTCCCAAGGTTGGCTTCTTTGCCCTCACTACTCACGGGGCCTTTTCTCTGCGCTCCAACCATCACCTCCTCTCCAGGCTGAGGAGATCAAGCCTACTCTTCTGCCTCTTCTGCTGCCCCCCTTTTATGAGACCCTGGACACTCCTATATGTCCCATACCCTCTTAGGCTCATCCTGAGGCCTGATGTCACTGCTCCCATTCTCACCCCAGCGTCTTATACCTGGTGGCCCTAACTAATGTCCTTTGGCATGAGATTCTATCTTAAAAACAGCTCTGGAACCGCTGTTCTGATGACTTCTACCTGCCAACATGGAAGATGTCCAGAAGCACATGGAGAAAAATTTAAATTGGCCCAGAGAGCAGAGGAGAGCATGTGGATAGCTCCTAAGTGTGACTATGTAGGGCTCAGTTATTTCTGTCTGTCTCCCTTCCAAGGCTGTGAGCACCTCAGGGCAGGGAAGAGCGTTACTCATCTGTCTGTCACCTCGGTGCCTGATGTATACAGTCAGTACTCAGAAAAATATCTCATGAATTAATGTGATTCCTGGCTTTGCCACTCAACTTTCTTTGACTTTGAATAAGGTCCTTATCTGATCCCAGTGTCCAAATCTACAAAATGATGGAACTGGACCACATTTTAAGGGAGCCCTTTCAGCACTAAAGTGTAATTAATGGTCATGGGATGGAACAGGCTAGCCGGGGAGGGGGCGTGTGTCAAGGTCTCCAGCAACATGCTCTGCCCAGGTCTGAGGCAGAAGGGTGGGCTCAGAGAGAGGGGCTGCCCTGCCCTCATCTTGGGGGCTGCCCAGGACCCTGGAGGAGGGATGGACTGGTTATGGTCAATGAGTGGGCGCTGGCTATTAACCCCGAAAGTCCCACTGACCCATTCCCTGGGTCTCGTCCCTGGCTCGTCAGCCTGGTGTGGGAGGAGACTAATTTCTGGAGGAAACTCTGGGTACCTAGTCCTCCCCCAAGTCTGCCCACGAACAGGCCGTTCTTGTTTACGACCCCCGTCCCCGGAGGACAGCAATTGCTCATCCCCACATGTGATTCGAGAGGCTGGCCTTGCAGGCCGGGAGGAAACTCAAGCCCCGCCAGCCGTGCTGGCACCAGAATGCTCAGCTGGTTCCCTCCTGGGGCTCATGTGACCAGGGTCTAGCTATAAATATCAGAGGGGCCTCAGACCAAGACAGAATTCGCGCACTAGGAGAAGAAGGCCAAGAGACTCCGGGCGGGTGTTTTGTGACCAAGGCAAACCCCAGGTCTGCTTAGAGCGAGGCAGGTAAAGGAGGCAGCCAGGTGGGCCCCACACCTCTCGACAGTATGGATTACAAATCAGGCCTGATCCAAGATGGGAACCCCCTGGAGAACCTGGAGAAGCAGCTGATCTGTCCCATCTGCCTGGAGATGTTTACCAAGCCGGTGGTCATCTTGCCGTGTCAGCACAACCTCTGCCGGAAGTGTGCCAATGACATCTTCCAGGTCAGTGCTGGGCATGCCTAGTCCTGGGGGCTCAGGTGGCTACTCAGCTGTCCTGTGATGAAAACTCTTCTCTCTTAGCCCAGGACCCTTTTAAACTGGGGCTGGTTCTTCCCCTGCAAAGGCCTCTGGACTGGGCTGAGGGGGGCTGGGCAGCAGCTCTGACTACCTAGTTCCTTTTCCATGACGCACGTTTCCCCTCCCCATCCTATGGCAGCTCTGCCGCCCGTGGCGTCTGCCCTGAGCACCGCAGTTGACTCTTCAATCAGGAGTCAAATGCCTCAAGTGATAAGTGGTGGATGCTGGGGGAGAGGAGAGAGAAACCAGACCCCTGGGGCTGGAGCCAGCTCCCTGGTGGCAGGGGGCCCGGAGCTTTAGGAGGAGGGAGGGTGGGAGGCACTGGGCGGTAGCAGCACCTTCCCCTAAGGCTGTTGCCTCTAATACAGGGCAGGAGGGGCTTCATCTCCTAAGAAAGGTGTGAGAGTGGATGTCCTGGCTGGGAGGCAGGGCTTAGGGTTCCCCAGAAGCACTTTACAAAATGTTCTCTCACTATTTTATCTTTAAAGTTAGCAGCCTTAGTCTCTGGCTCTAATTATAACGCCCGTTTGACCATATGGGCAGGCAGAGGCTTGGCGGGATAAGGTTGCTTGCCCAAAGTCATTCAGAGAATAACCGTGACCTGAACCCCAGGACTGTTGATTGCTTAGTGCTTCTCAGGTGCTCCCTGTGTAGTGAGCTGCCTCTCATCTCAAGGCCAGAGGCTCCTGGTCGTATGGTTTGACAAGAATGGTTGGGGTGAGCAGGAGGGAGGATAATAGGAGGTTAGAAAGGGCAGGGGCTGAGAAGGGGACCCAAGCCTCATCTCTGCTCTTGACACCTACAGGCTGCCAATCCCTACTGGACCAATCGAGGTGGCTCGATGTCCATGTCTGGAGGCCGTTTCCGCTGCCCCTCCTGCCGCCATGAGGTGATCATGGATCGTCATGGAGTGTACGGCCTACAGAGGAATCTGCTGGTGGAGAACATCATTGACATCTACAAGCAGGAGTGCTCAAGGTCAGTTCGCCCGGCTGCTGGGAGCCTGCCTTCACTGCCGAGACATTCTGTGCTGGACTCTCCCAGGCTCCTTCCTCCTTCTTCTGCTAGGGATCCCGTCCCCTAGCTGGATGGGCTCTGCCAGCCAGGCCCGAGAGCCGTGTGCCTCTTCCTCAGGCAGGACCCTGATTCTCTGTGTCACTTTGATGGGAAGGGACCCAGGCTACTCTCCTGAAAGCTAATGAGATAGGAATGAAGGGAAAGACAAGATGTGAGAGGGACAGAGAGGCACCGGGGCCAGTTAAGTGGCTCTGATAAGCTGAGTAAGTGCCCAGTGAGGACAGAGCCAGTTTCTCTGTAGTGACATCAGCAGCTAAGGGAGGCACAGTACCGGGCGCTGGGGATGTTTCTCCTGCTGCTGCACAACAACCCTATAAAGCAGACATACTTATCATCCCCATTTCACAGATAAGCCAGCTGAGGCTCACAGAGGTGAAGTCAGTTGCCCAAGGTTGCCCAGCTGGGAAGTGGAAGAGCTGGAACTGGGCCCTGTCGATAGTCTTACGTTTCCCTGATTGTAGAAGAGCAGCTCTGTCTCAGGCAGAACTTGTCAGTGGTGGAGGTTGTGCAGTATTAGGCTTCAAACTGGAGAGAGACACAGCTACCAGAGAGATCTTTACAAATCAGGACGTCCTGACAAGACTTCCAGGCTGCTGACATCACAGCCCTTATGGTCCAAAACTGTCACAACCTATAGCCAGTGTCCTGCCCGAAGAAAGGTGACAGACCTGTCCTAGTGAGAAAATGTCAAGGCCTGGGGATCTATGTTTGCTTGTCTGACTCTGTTACTAAGGCATTGCAGGATCCTAGTCTTTGAGCCTTCATTTCCCTTGCTTGCAGAGGGGACCGTAATATTTGTCTTTGTGACTGTATAGGATTTTAATGGGAAACGTTAAAAAATATCAAATATTTATTGTACCTACTGTGGTACCGTACTAAGTATTTTCCACGAGTTATCCTTATTTAATTCTCACAGTAATCCTATAAGACATTCTTCCCCTCATTTTATGATGAGAAGGCTCAGAGAGAGTCAGAGGGTTGTCCAAGGCCCCTCAGCTTGCAAGTGGTAAAGCTGAGAAGGAGCCTGTCTGACTGACTCCATGATGAACACTTCCAACTGCTATTGCCTCTCATGTTGCTAGGGCTCACCACTAAAAAATAAAAATATATTTTTGATTATTATAATCATAATAAAATCAACATTGCACTGGAATATTAGCCCACCCAGTGTCACCCTATGAAGACCATATTGTGTTTGAACCTTTGAGGCCTTTCTGCATACTTGGATGAGAACGACAGTGGCCCTGGTGGGGGTCTGCCCTGTGCTATAGGCACCGCACGGTCATTACAGACCGCTCCTGCCATGATCCCAGGGTCTCTGGGAGGAAACCAAAGCTCAGAGAAGTGGAAGGGCTTGTCCAAGGTCACAGAATGAATAAATGCAGAATAATCTGGCTTCCCGGATGCGGAAGTCTGGGCTGGGGGTTCATGCTATATTAGGGGCTGGAAAATGGGACTTAGTATAGACATGGTGTTGACTCTAAATGAGAGTGGAGTCTAGCTAGGGGGTAAGACCTAGACCCGCGCCCTCCCCCCCCAGGCTGTGTGTTTTGGGCAGTTTTCTTCCCCTCTCTGTGCTCCATCTGTAATATTAATCTCAGATAGGAGGCCACCCATTTCCTGAGAGAAGCACAGATAACATGTCAGGACCCCTAAGGAGAGAGAGAGACAGAGGGAGAAAGACATTCTAAGAATGAGTGGGAAGAAAGAGGAGGAAGAGACTACACCCTGGAAGCAATCTCTGGACTAGAAGTCAAGGCTCGAGCTGGGCTGCTGCACAGCCCTGCCGAGGCCGCTTGTATACTAGCTGTGTGACTCGGGGCACACACACCGCTTCCGCCCTGAGCCTCGTGGCACCCTCGCAGCAGGCCTGCTGATTCATTCCTTCTACCTGTATTCACTTGCCACCTCCTCTGTGCAAGGCACTGTACACTGCAGGTTCAGGACTGAAGGGAATGGGCAAGTTTCCCTGCTTTGATGGAGGTTACAGTCTGGTGGATTAAATATAGAATTCAATGAGGCCATGAGAAATTGCTTCACTTAGAGCCCAGCCTGCAGAAACTGAGAGTTGCAGTGACTATAATTAGAGCAAACGAACTTCAGCCTCCCCTGCTGTGACTTGCTGGGTGACCTTGGGCAAATCAATTCATCTTTTGGGGGGCCCAGTTCCCTCTTCTTGAAAATGTCTCCAGATCTGACTCTGGGACTCTACCACCCTTCCCATGTCCAAGCCGACTCCATCACCAGACTTTGAGTCCTAGTACGTGGAGGCAACCATGGTGTCACTGGTTTCCCTGGTTCTGCTTCCCCAGAGGATAAGGAAAAGGATTAGGACATCCAACCACTGAGAACTTGGGCCAAAGGTCCGGGGTGGAGCCGTGCTCGGAGCTGGTGAGGAGAGCCCCACCTTGTGACTCGTGACTCTTCCCCTTCAGTAGGCCCCTGCAGAAGGGCGGACACCCCATGTGCAAGGAGCATGAAGATGAGAAAATCAACATCTACTGCCTCACTTGCGAGACGCCCACGTGCTCCATGTGCAAGGTGTTTGGGGCCCACAAGGCCTGCGAGGTGGCCCCGCTGCAGAGTGTCTTCCAGGGACAAAAGGTACTAGCCCGCACCACTTCCTCTCACAGCCTGCTGGGAATGGCCCGATGGTTCAGGACGCTGATCTGGTCCCCGCAGATCTGCTGAGCCAGCCTTTCAGTAATGGCCCCTCTGTAGGGACTTCCCAGGCTGCAGTGACAACAGTCCTTGCCTTCCTGGGGGAGGTGGCTGAGCTCATGGGTTATACTTAGAGCCACTTGAGAGCAGCTGGGTGTGGCCACAGGGGAGAGGCCAGGCCCCAGGGCCAGGCCACAGGGGTCCTCTCAGGCCATGATTTTTATATCCCAGTGTGCTTTGAGGCCCAGAGACCTCTTCCTGTGCTGGTCACCTGTCTCAGCCTTCAAATTCCCCGGACCTGTGTGAGACCCACTGTCCTGTCTGTGCAGCGAACTGTGGCCCCGCTTTCCATACTCTTTCTTCCCCGCCTCCCCACTTCTTTCTTAGAAACAAGCCCCTCCTCGACCAATACCTTGCTGTGTGTTCTGGGCAGTTTGCTTCCCCTCTCTGTGCTCCATCTGTAAAATAAAGGAAAGAGTATCTCTCTGATATTCTCTGCTCTGGACCTCAGCTCTGCCTCGGAAAGAGAGGCCCGACAGCTACTGGGGGCTCTTTTTAGCAGAGAGGGGAGGTGAGGGTGCCATGTTGCTGCCATTTCCCAAGAGGGCAGGCCTGAGACTATTTCTGTCTCTCCTCTCCTGATCCTCCACCCCCTCCTCCCGTCTAGACTGAACTGAGCAATTGTATCTCCATGCTGGTGGCGGGCAACGACCGCATGCAGACCATCATCACTCAGCTGGAAGACTCCAGTCGAGTGACCAAGGTGAGGGGACCTGCGGGTTTGGAGCGTCCAGTGCAGCCCTCACCCCCCGCGAGGGAGCGGGGGGGGGGGGGGGGGTGACTCCAGGCTGGGGCCTGTGGCCTGGGGCGGTCAGGCAGGGATGGGGGCGGGGCTGACTAATCCCTTAATCCACTCATTCAACCACTGTTTCTGGAGCACAGCTGTGTGTCGGGCCCTGCCAAAGGCTCTAGGGTGGGGTGGCGAACAAGACAGCCCCCTGCCCCACCAAAAATTCCCACTTTTTTGGTTTTGTTTTCAGCATTTGGAAGTTTTTAGACCATTGTTCTCTGTGTGCTGTAGACCAAGGCTTCAAACCTTAAAGTACACACAAATCCTCTGGGGTCTCATTAAAATTCAAGTTCTGATTCAAGAGATCTGGAATGAGGCATGAAATTCTGCATTTCTAACAAGTTCTCGGGGTTTGCCCAAGTTGTGGGTCCATGGACCACACTTTCAGTAGCAAGAAAGGAGGGGGACATTGTTACCACACTTGTGAGCTCCCAGGCTGACAGATGATGCTACAGCCCCCAGTCTGAGGAGATGCTATTATTGTATCCATTTTACAGATAGGAAACTGAGATGTAGCAACTGTGTTGAAGACAAGGGAACTTCACTGAGGCAGTCACTAGAGGAGGAGCTGCTTCTCCGCCTCTTCTAGGACCAAATGATGCAGAGCTTCTTGAATCCAGTATTGGTTCTAAAATGGGGGGAAGAGTGTGACTTGGGGACACACTGGAAGGCCATAATATATCATTTCATTTAATCCTAGAATCTCTATTTTTGAGGAAGGGGGTTGCTTTCTCCATGACATCAGACTCCAAACGTGAACTGAGTAGCTATGAAATCTTAGCAATGCTTTCTTCTTGCTAAACCTTCATTTCATCTTGTGTAAAATGAGGGTGTAGGAAGCCCTCTTCCAGCTTTAGATTCTTTGTTCCCAGCACACCCATCCCCATAAGGAGGTATTAGTGATCAGGAGAAGCCCACAGGATGCGATTCCAAGATTTTTGTCCCCAGGAGAACAGTCACCAGGCAAAGGAACAGCTGAGCCGGAAGTTTGACATGCTGTATGCCATCCTGGATGAGAAGAAGAGTGAGTTGCTACAGCGGATCACGCAGGAGCAGGAGGAGAAACTCAGCTTCATCGAGGCCCTCACGCAGCAGTACCGGGAGCAACTGGACAAGTCCACGAAGCTGGTGGAGACAGCCATCCAGTCTCTGGACGAGCCTGGAGGAGCCATCTTCCTCTTGGTGAGCAGCACCAGGAAGGTGTGGGCTGAGTTGCTCCACTCAACAGCTCTGTATAATGTTCAAGTCATGCTCCTCCTCTGACCACCTGTATGTCCTTGGGCAAGTCATTTAAAACCTCCCTGAGGTTTTAATGCCTCATTTTCCTCATCTGTAAAATGGGCATGGAGCAATCCCTACCTAAACCTATTTAGTGAGCGCCTACTGTAGGTCAGCCACTGAGGTGCAGACACAGAGCTGTATGAGACGCAGCCCTGCCCTAGGAGAGCTTGTTGGGGGAGATGGGAAGGGATCAACGGTAAGATTCCACAGTTCAGTTCCATAAAAATTTCCTAAGCACCTACTGTAGGCCAGGCTTTGTGCTAGACATTGGACATAAAGGAATGATTAGGATAAGATTCTCATCTTGAAGAGTTCAGGGTTTAAGGTGTTTCGCCTGATATCCCAAAACTGCAAGCCCCCTGCCAGGACGATGGAAGGGGCTCCTAGAGTGACCCCCAAGTCCTGTGCAGACCACGGGCAGAGGGAAAAGATGCAAGTTCTGTTCGGTTCAGGGTGGGGAGCAGGTCACAACTGGCCTAGGGAATGGCACCAAGTGCCCATCTGCAGCTCCCTGTCACTGGTTTTGCTGGTTTCCTGGGGCCACCCCTAACGCAGTCCTAACTCTTTGCTCTTTCTCCCCCCACAGAGTGCCAAGCAACTCATCAAAAGGTCAGTGTCTACCCAAGGCCCTAGTGCCTACCGGGCCTCTGGCTTCTGTCTAGTGGGGTCTCCTCCTTTCCGTAAGGGCAGCTGGGAGGGTCTCATCCCAGGCTGGCTTTCCTGGCCTTTGCGCCATTCTGTGCTTTCTTACACTGGTATTTGCTTGTGACTGGGGAGGAAATACCCCTCCCCCTCCAGGGGGAGCCTCTTGGTGCAAGGCCTGGGTGTGGGCACAAGCATGTGCACTGCTGTGAGTTGGAGCTAAAACACCCCCTCCCTGCACTAAACCCCAGATCAATGTCTCTCTCTCTCTCTCTCTCTCCCCCCCCCCCCCTCCTTTCTCTCCTCCACAGCATTGTGGAAGCTTCCAAGGGTTGCCAGCTGGGGAAGACAGAGCAGGGCTTTGAAAACATGGACTACTTTACTTTGGATTTAGAGCACATAGCAGACACCCTGAGGGCCATCGACTTTGGGACAGGTAAAGGAGGCGGTGGTGCCACTTGCCTCTTTCCCTGCTCAACCCTTGGAAATCAGCTTTGCTCCTACTGAGCCCCGCGTGGAGGCACATACACTAGCAAAGGTGCCCAGATATCAGCCAACTTCTGGATGAGCCCAGAGCGGAGCACAGCGCCTGGTACATAATTGCTGCTCTGTAAATTATCACCGCAGAGAGGCGTCTTGGACTGTTTGAAGGACGTAACTAACATCTGGAGACAGGCAGACCTAAGTGTGAATCAGGGGCTGCCATTTGTTGTCTGTGTGACTTCTGGTGAACCCCTCCACCTCTCTGAGCTTCATTTTTCTAACTTTAAAAATTAGGTTAAAAGTGGGACTGCTCATAATGACTACCTCATGGTGTTGCTGCAGCAACTAAGATATTGACACAGAAGAGTTTGTAGAATACTAGACATGTACTAATGAGCCCCTAAAGCTAGTCTTGGCTTCAGCTTTTTCATGCTACCATCTATGATACTCAGGCATCTTAATTTATCTATACCATACCCTCATTTCTGCTTATAGTTACTCTTCCACAGAGTACCTATAATAATCATCACAATGTAACCATAAGAGTACTAAGAGGAAAATAATAAGAGAAAATGAGGAAATGCTATGAAGAGCAAAGATGTAAATAATTTGCTCAAGGTCACAGTTGAAAGGTAGCTATCATGCAGTGAAAAAGAGAGGGTGGATCCTGTTTTGCCGAATGTAACATTGTTCTGATAGGCGATGCTTCAATGAACAGGACAGAGAGAGGTGTGCAGGATTAGGAAAGAATTGTACTGGGGCCAGCACGAAAAAGCTTGGCTCACCTGCAAACTTGCAGAATCTGGTGTTACATCTGCTCTCAGAACACCAGGTGCGCCCCACTTGTGGGTGAGGACAAAATGCATTCCGAAGCTTAGATGCTGGCAGACGGGCGTAGACGCCACTGCAGATCACCTGTTCCAGAGTTACCCTCCTGAAGCTAAGATATTCAAGAGTGTATCGTGCTGTGTGAGCAGTTTGGCATAGCAAAGACCTTCACTGCCTTCTATAACCTCCCTCGGCCTTAGTTTCCTCGTAGGAAAATGAGGAGAGAACCATACCAATAGCTACAGTACAATTTATTAAGCACTTTCTATGTCCCAGGCACTAAGCCCTTGGCATAAATTCTGTCACTTAATACAACTTCATGAGGTAGATTCTGTTGTCATCTCCATTTTGTAGTTAAGAAAATAAAGCCAAGGGACAATGAGAGGTTTCCTGGAGCCCACACGGCCAGTAGTAGCCCATGTGAATGCCATCAAGGGCCATCTGGCTCATAAAACCTTTGTGAGGATTATATGAGACAATGCATGTCCAGCGCTTAGCACAGCACTTGGCAGATAGCAAGTCCTCAGCAAATGCGGCTCTCAGTAGTTAATGTGATAATGATTAAACAACAGCAGCACAGTTCCCTGGGTTATGCAGAGATCCCTGGGAGGTGGCTGGAAATTAGGCTGTCCTTTTGGAGGCACTCTTTCAAGCCTCTTCCCAGACACTCTGAACAAATGCTCCAACTCTGTGGTGACCCCCTCAAGGCCCCAAGGCAACAAGGAAGCAGCTTTGGAGAGGGAGTGGACAATAGGCATGTTCCTTGTTAGCAGAGCTTGAAGGTGATATCTCAGGATGGGAAAGTGTGGACACAAGTTGCAACTCACAGTCTGTCTGGGGCTCAGCTTCAAAGAACCGAGGAGCAGTTGGCCCAGAAGTGTTCCTTACCCCCTATGCACTCCTCTGTAGGCTGAGGAATAAGGAAAAATGGACAGGGAGTGCTAGGCAAGCAGATTTCAAATGCTGGACAAATTCCTTCAAGACGGACTGTGATTGCTGAAAATCAAGGCATTATTGTCCCTTCTCCACAGGTGATATTTCTCTAACTGAGAGGTATGCCGAAGTACAGTGTGACTACTATAGTCCCCTCTGGTCAGAGGCAGATTAGAGGCTGCTCTAGCTCCTGGAACAACGGAGCCTCCTGAACAGCCCTCCTTTGGAGGGTGCAGATGGAAGGGGAGGGAGGAGAAAGGCGGAAGCCTACCTCTGTGCAGCTTGGCTTTGGCAAGCCCAGCACTTCCTGGGCCACTGAAGCCATCGCATGGCCCTTTGACTCCAACTGGGTGTCGGAAGGATTGGGATCAGTGCTGTCCCCAGCCTAGTTCCCTTTTGAGCAGCAACCCTGAGAAACCAGCCTATCCTAACATTATTGTTCTTTGTCACGCACAGATGAGGAAGAGGAAGAATACAATGAAGAAGAAGATCAGGAAGAGGAAGAGTCCACAGAAGGAAAGGAAGAAGGTAAGAAATCTGCCCAGGCTGGTGTGATTCAGTGAATTGAGTGCTGGCCTGCAAACCAAAGGGTCACTGGTTCGATCCCTGGTCAAGGCACATGCCTGGGTTGTGGGCCGCATCCCCAGTGCGGGGTGAGCAAGAGACAACCACACATTGATGTTTCTCTCCCTCTATTTCTCCCTCCCTTCCCCTCTCTCTGAAAATAAACAAAATCTTTTTTTTTTTAAAGAAGGTAAAATATCCACCTACCTTCATTCATTCATTCATTCATTCGCTCAGAAACATGAGATACTGACTGTGTGCAAAGTGCTGTGTTGGACATTGGTGATAATGCCATCTGATCATGATCCTAATTGTGTAAATCTTTTAAAGATAAAGTCCTCCTCCTTTTGCTCTTAGAGGGAAAAAAAACCATTTATAATAAAAAGCTCCCATTTTTATATCTAAATCGTTTATATCTCTATGGAAATCAATGCTGCGTAACAGACATAAAAGACAGAGTCCTCAAGAGCTAAGCTTGGTCCATTAATGCTGTATGGCCAGCACAGCATTTAAAGTTTTTTTAATCAGTTGCCAACATTTTAAAAATTAGACTTTTAAAAGGATTTTTTAACAAGTGATTTCAACTAAGAATCTGGATTTCTGCCTTCTTGCAAAAATTTCAAAAGAGCCACCCATGTTGGGCTTGGCCTTCTCTCTTATCCCAGGGAGCTGGCACTGGGCAGTGGCTGTCCTCTGCACGGGACAGCGCTCGCCAGTTTGCCCAGACCCACCACTGTCAGCTCCTCACTCTTGTCATCTGCTGGCCGCTGGAAGGCATCTGAGCCTGAACCTGGCAGACTGTACCACGGCTTTATCACGGACTGGCGGTGTGACCTTGGACAGTTCACGTTCTGAGTCTTGGGCTCCTCGTCTATCCGTGGGAGCATAATAGTACTTACTGACTCAAAAGATTATAATGGAGAGTACATCAGAGAGTCATTTCACACAGCGTCTGGTACCTAGGAAGGACATGTTTGCTAATATTATTTTAAAACCCAAGTTATTATTGGAACTAAATCCCAATCCAGTTGAGAAATATAAAGTAGTATTTTGGAGTTTCGTATTGGATGCGCAATCCAATTTTGTTTTGGCAACTGAATTCTACTTTGGTTTAAAAAGGAAGGGGCCAGGCAGGAACTGGAGTTTGATCATTTTGTCACTACAGCTTGGTAAGTCCTGGATCCCCTTGAGTCCCTCTCTCACTTTGTGTTTCTTTGTCTTCTCTTCCAGGACACCAGTAAGGAGCTGGATGAGGAAGAGACCCTCTAGATGCAGAGAGACTGGGAAGGGTGGGGATGGGCCCAGCCGCCTCGGTGACAGGCCCGGAGGGAGGGGTCGGGGGCCCTGTAGGGGCCAAGGGGAGGTTTGTCTTCTCTCTGCTCAGAGAGCAAGGACTAGGAGTAGGACCCCCACCGTGTCCAGCAGTCACTGAAGCAGAATTGGAAATGTGCTTGAAACAACCACACAGGACACTTTTCTACATTGGTGCAAAATAGAATATTTTGTACATTTTTAAAATGTGATTTTTGTATATACTTGTATATGTATGCCTATTTGGTGCTTTTTGTAAAGGAACTTTTGTATGATAATGCCTGGTCATTGTGTGACTGGCGATTGTTAGATTGAGGGGAAGGAAGCCAGGCTGATACAGCTGCCTGGTTCCTTTCCCTGCCTGGGAGGGCTGGGGAGCACTCACAGACCTGGAAGGGGTGATGTGCTGTTTCAGTGCCTATCCCTGACACAGGGGATGGAAACTGCGTTTCTGTTACATGTTGTTTTAATAAAGGCACAGCGCTCTCTTCCTGTTGTTACCAGATGAGTTGGGGTTTCTGTTAGGGTGGTTGGTGACATGCGGGGACGAAAGAATTCAGAGAGAAGAAAGTGTAGGGAGTAAAGTTTGTATTCACTCTCCAAGAAAGGAGAGGGATACAGTGTGGAGACACAACACCAGCCTTGAGGGGTGGGAGCTTTGAGCTTCTATTGGATTATAATTGGATTAAAAAAGGGTGGGGGTTGCTGTGGTGTGGCCACGGGGCAGTTGCGGTGTTGTAACTCGAGGCTGCAGTTTGTTCCTGTGTTATCTTCTGCTGGTGGCTGTAGGGGGCCCTTAGTTCTGGTCTTGTTTCCAGGAATTCCCAGTCCTGGGGACAAGCTTGGAAGGGTAAAATGGGAGTCCTGCTTAACAAGGTTACAGACCTGCTCAGCAAATGGGGACACAATAGCAAATGGTTCTGGCTTTACCCTTTCAGTTTCATTCAACCTTTTTTTCTGAGAGTTCAGAGTGGAGGGACAGAAGCCTGACAGAAGGCGTGTGTCAGGAAGGAGACAGCAATGGCAAGGCTGGGCTTCTGTCCCACCAAAAAGGGCTTTTTACATCAGCGTTTCCCAGTGAGAGCTCCATCGACAATGTTATAAATGTTAATTGTTAACTATCCTATACCCACCAATGTAAAAGAAGTGTTTTTCTCTTTATTTTACTCTTTATCCAATCTCAGAGACTTCTCTACTTTGCTTTCTCCCACTTCCCTAATCTATCACCAGTGAATTTCCTGTAACCCTCTTGATGCTTCCTCCTTTGTTTGTAATGTATAAAATAGGGTGCAAAATTGCAATCCCCTGGAGCATTCTCTCAGTCTGTTGAGATTTTGTTTCCCAGCAAGTGTAGTCAGTTTGGCTCCAATAAACTCACACAAAGTCTTATAGGTTTGGGCATTAACATTTTGGGCATTAACATGGAAAACTGGCCCTGAGATGACCCTCAAGAAACAGGTTTAATAATGCCCTGTTCTCTGGCTCTCTGGAAGACAGAACCTGAGGCAAAGCTTGAATGTTTTAGTTTAGATAAACCCCAGGGCAGCTGAGGTGAGGAAAAGTGGAAGCAAGGCAGGACTGGAGAGAAGCAAATAGAAAGTGTCGTATTAAACTGAGCAAGCCACAGCTTCAACGGAGACCCGGCTGTTTGCTCAGTCCTAGGAGATGTTCCAAGCAGGTTGTAAAGAGCACAACAGACTCAAAGCAGTTATCAGAGGGAGAGATTTCTGTCTGCTGGCTCCTTTCATTTCCTGCCTCAGGACTGAAGTTTGTCTCCCAGAGTGTTCATTCCCTTACACTTCCAGGTTGCATCGCTTGGCCCCTTTAGGCAGCTGCTAGGGGAGCTAAGCCAGAAGGCACACCATCAGTTGATTCTTGAGTTGAGGGTAGAGCAGGGCTTCCATGGGTGGGTCCAGTGGGTGGGGCACGGGTGTTGGAGCTGCACAATGGATGCTCTGCTGGAGTCCACATTTACCCCACGGAAGGCCAAGGCAGTCACCAGTGCGGGGGGGGGGGGATGAAGCAATACCAAGGCCAAAGTAGCACCAACACTTTCCTTGAACAAGGGACCTAGGGGCTGGGAGAGAGGAGAAACTGAGTGAACCAGCACGGGGTACTAACTGGGTCTGAGACACCTTGGACTTATAGACTTGACGAACACTGAAGAGTCTGTCTCACCTTTTCAACATTCAGAACACAGTTGCAAGTTCAGGACTCCACGTAGTCCCTCTATAAGGAAAACTATTTGACTTTAGACAATGACTGGCCCATCACGTTTATGGTGTTTGGAATGCTGCCTGATTTTTAAGGCTTTTTGGTAGATCGGATATTTAAACCCAACATTTCTCAATTTATTCATTTATGTGACATCCTCTAGAACTAATGTTCTGTGGAATTCACTTTTCTTAAAACTGATTTGAGAGAGAAAGAAACATTGATTTGTTGTTCCAATTATTAATGCATTCATTGGTTGCTTCTTGTATGTGCCCTGACCGAGAATGAAGCCTGCCGGCTTGGCGTATTGGGACGATGCTCTAACCAACTGAGCTGCCCAGCCAGGGCTTGGAACTCACTTTATGAAAGTGCTTTTGTAGACAAAAAAAGGGCCACATACTAAACCTGATAAACTCAGGGGAGGCCTGCATGGCGAGCCTTACAAACTCAGAGACAGAAAGTAACCACACAGGATGGCCTGAAATTAAAACTTCTTTTTTTTTTCCCAAAGAGATCAATGAAATATAATGAGCATTCTAAAAACAAACGTATATATCTGTCTAACAATGTAATATATAATTAAATTGATATTTCAAATCAATGGGTAAAATAAGGCTTATTCAACAAATAAGGTGCATGGGCCACTGTTACTTGAAATAGAATAAATATAGAGCCCTATTTCACACATTATACAAGAAATATTCAAGTGAGTTAAAAATCAATATGTAGACTCTAAGGAGTTTTAGGAGAAAATACAAACTAGTATTTTTCTTACCCTGAAGTAAAATATTCAAACCCAGAAGCTATAAAGTAAAATATTGACAATATGACCATATTAAACATTTAAGACTATATAGTAATATACATATAAAAAAGTTAAAGGATAAGTAACAGAGTGGGAAAGTATTTGCCACACATCTAAAAAAGAGTTAATAGTTGGTTTTTTTTCTTTAGGGAAAAAAAAATTCTACAAACTTTTAATCGATAAATGGATAAAGAATACCAAAAAGTCATTTAAAGCTTTTTAAAAATAATAGAAATAGTCAAGAAATATACAAGAACAGGTCTAGTTTCAACAAATAATAAAGGAACAATTAAAATAACACATCATTCTTAAACTTCTTAAACAAAAGTCATGGCAGGTAATCACACCCTTCTGGTATCTTCCTTGACAAAGGTCAAACTTTACCTTAACTGAGTCTGTCTATAGCCTTTTTTGCATTTAAGGTAACACACCTCTGGAAGGTCTGAGTAACCCCTTTTTCCAGACCCTTCATGGCACAATGTTATAAATGTTAATTGTTAACTATCCTATACCCACCAATGTAAAAGAAGTGTTTTTCTCTTTATTTTACTCTTTATCCAATCCCAGAGACTTCTCTACTTTGCTTTCTCCCACTTCCCTAATCTATCACCAGTGAATTTCCTGTAACCCTCCTCCTTTGTTTGTAATGTATAAAATAGGGTGCAAAATTGCAATCCTCTGGAACATTCTCTCAGTCTGTTGAGATTTTGTTTCCCAGCAAGTGTAGTCAGTTTGGCTCCAATAAACTCACACAAAGTCTTGTATGTTTGGGCATTAACATTTTATAGTTTTTAAAAGGTTTTACTTACTTTTAGAGAGAAGAAAAGGAGAGAAACATCGCAACTCAGGTACGTACCCTGACTGGGAATCCAACCTGCAACAGTTCATTTTGCAGGACAATGCCTGGCCAGACCACCCAGACCACACCAGTCAGGGCTATGTTGACACTTGAAACGCTCGCATCTTGGCTCATTTCCGGGAGTTTTTCCAAAGCTGACTTAGCTCAGTCCCTAACTCTGAGTTTCAGGGAATCAGATTTTGCTCTCATTTCTAGTCTTTTATCAAGCTCTGAAGCATTTTTTTAAAAATTTCTTTACAAATTGTGATTCACTACAGACACACAAGTGTACAAAACTAGTCACAGAGTTTAGTAAACCATTGTAAAATGACATCCTGTGCTGCTACCACCCAGGTCAAGAAAAGAACATTGCCAGCTCCCAGATGCCTTCCATTTACCCTCTTCTCCTCATAGCTCCTTCTGCTTAGAGGTAGCTACTATCCTGCCTTTCTTTCTTTTTTTTTTTTTAACAATCACACTCGTGCTTTTCTTTATAGTTTTATTTTCTAAAGTATCTTCCCATAGAAAACTTTTGAGACCAGAAAATGAGAGGCAGAACACCGTGCATGGCACCTCCTGTAACTCCGGTCGCTGCCGGGGGGAGGGGAGAAGGGATAGTGGCGATGGAGTCAGTTCTGCCCTGATGGAGACTAACGCTGAAGTACGACAGCGCCCTATGACGGGATGGAAATGAAGCCGGTCGCTCCAGATTCTAATCCAAGCGCACCGGCAAGGAACTAGCGCTGCTTTAGTGGCGAAGATGGCTCGGGCAGCCCAACCAGTCCTAAGGAGGGCCATTGTCCCAGCCTGAGGGCACAGCTCCCGCCTCCAGGACCCCCTACCTAGCCTGAGCGGAACACTGCCAACTGCTGGTGGCTGCAGCCCGAGGGTGGAAACCTACCAAACTCTCAGGAGTCTCCAGCTCCTGGGGAAGACACAATCGTAGCCCGAGGAGCCACATTCCTGCTCTCCGGGGATCCAAGGCGAATTCCCACAAACCAAGATCCGAGAACTTCTCGGTGGGACGCTGCCAGCCCCAATCGGGGAGGAACGCGCGCAGCAGTCGCCCTGTCCTGTCTTAGTAGAGGCGTTCGTCGCCAGCCAGGTGGGCTCCCCCGGCCCCAGGGACACAAGGAATGGGTGCTCCGTGGGAGCTCCCGGGCATCCTTTGCAGCCGGCCACCCCCTCCCCCTTCCCCGCGGACTTTTGCACACGACGCGTGGCAGGCCGCTTCACACGGGGTGGCGAGGGCCGGATAAAGCGCCCGGCGCGCAGAGCGGAGGCTGGAGCCGTGCGGCAGCCGGACTGTCCCACCGCGGCCCCAGCGCGGCCCCGACAGGCGCAGCGGCGAGACACCGCTGGGAGGTGAGAGGCGCAGGAGGGGCGACAGAAGAGGCACACACGGGGCTTTCCCCGCAGGTGAGTGCGGACCGCAACCATCTGACGCGCAACTTCCTGGGCTCACTCCGCGAGGCGTCCGCACCCGGCTTCCTGACCCAGAGCGGAGCACGTGGAGCCGCATGAAGGCCACGGATAAGCAGCATCTGTTGGACGCCAAGCCCGGAGCCCGGTAAGGCGAGAGCCTGGGGAGGGATAGGAACTTGAGCGGCATCAGACACACCTCCTCATTTGCTCTCCTGGGATGGTTTGGGCGGTGGCTAGAACTGGACCACAGAGGACGGGCGGGGTAAAGTGAAGGAGAGGGGAAATCCAGAGTGGAACGTGGACTCTCCCTCCCTTGCCGCTGAACACAGCTCCTGACCCCTGTCGCTGTCGGGAGTGGGTGCCTAGGGCCCCGCCCACACCCGGGAACTTTGCCCCCGGGCAGCCTCGCCCAGGGAGGCCCTGTCTCCCCAGGTGCGCGAGATACGGGGTTGTCCTTCTGCCAGGGCTCAGATCAGTCTCCGTGCTCGGCGGGACCGACCCCGCCCCTTGGCCAATTCCCAAGGTCTTTGCCTCCTTCAGGCCCTGGGAGGGATGGGGGAGGAGTAAACATCCCTGGCCAAGGCCCTCAGACTCCTGGAGACTGGTCGGTCCCCCAGCACCCACCTGCGAACATGGGCTTTTGGTCACTCCTTAGGGACTGTCGAGATTTGAGCGTCCTTAGCTCTTCTCCCAGTTGTACACATGGGAACCCCAAGGCCCCACGGAGAGATAGGACTGGCGTCAGCCCTCCTTGTCCGCATCTCAGAGTTGAGTCTCCTCTTTCCCTTCCTTTCTGGCCAGGTCTTACATGGGGTCTCTGTGGCAGGATGGGGCCAGCTGGATTTCTGTGTCCCCACCTGACTCGGAGTTGCCATCCATTGAGCTGGCTGTGGAGAGCAACCACTACTGTCATGCCCAGAAGGGTCCTGGCAGGCGCTGTGACCCCAAGAAGGAGCGGGCCACTCGCCAGCTCTATGTAGCTTCTGCCATCTGCTTGGTGTTCATGATTGGAGAAATTATTGGTAAGGACTTTTCTGCTAATTAAATGAAATTGGCGCATGGATAGTCTGGATGGTCCAAAAGGCTTTTCTCCTGAATATTCCAGCAATTATTAATATAGTTGACACTTGATCTGCACAGTTGAAAGTCCACGTGTAACTTTTGACTCTCCCAAAACTTAGCTACAGCCAACCCTTCTCATCCATGGATTCAACTGACTGCGGTTGGGTATCTCAGGTTGGAAAACCACATCTGTGAATGCGAAAGTACTGTTTTCCATGGGATTGATTAAGTCAGCAGATGGGAAACCCGATGTTATGAAGGGCTAATTGTGTTTATTGAAAAAAATTTCCGCACAAGTGGTCCTGTGCAGTTCAAACCAGTGTTCAAGGGTCATAGTGGTCAAGATTGAACATTCACTATGCATTTTTAAATTTTTTTTAAACTTTATTTTTCAATTACCATTGACATTAGTTTCAGGTGTACAAAATAATGATTAGACATTTATCTTGCAAAGTGATAAGTCCAATACCCATCTGACACCATACATAGTTATTAGTGTCATTGACTATATTTCCTATACTTTGTTGAGTCTTTTATATACACCCAGCTCATACAGTCCTCAAAACAACCTTGTCCTGATTTTACAGATGTTGAAACTGTACAGTTAGGTTAAATAGTTTGCCCAAGATCACACACAACTAGTAGAAAAGGGAAGTCCTGAACACCTAGAAGGAAAGAGCGTTTACTAAATGCCTACCGTGCTTTGCAGGCCCTATTTGAACTTGAAGTTTCACATTCACCCTCTAAGTAGATGTTGTTCCTGATTCACAGAGTAGAAGTTGAGGCACAGAAAAAGTACTTGCCTGTGGTTATACAGTGAATGAATGGGTGGAAAGGTCCCAGTCTGGTGTCTTTCTCCAGAGCCTGTGGTTTCCCTGCTACACAACACAGTCTGGGAAGCTGGCTCCTTGGGGAGCTGATGAGGACCCTCCATCCTCATCACCGCCCCTGCAGGTGGGTACCTGGCACATAGCTTGGCGATCATGACCGATGCAGCCCATCTACTCACTGACTTTGCCAGCATGCTCGTCAGCCTCTTCTCTCTCTGGATGTCCTCCCGGCCAGCCACCAAGACCATGAACTTCGGCTGGCAGCGAGCTGGTGAGGGCCTTGGTCTGGATGGGGGTTGAGTTGGAAGAGGGGCAGGTCAAGACATGGGTTCTTAGGTGGCTGTAATGGGTGGATCCCCTGAGCGAGCCAGGAGGGTGACTTTTGTGGGGAAAGATAGTATCAAACTTGGCTTCTGTCCTCTGGGAAAGGAGAGTCCACCTTCCTATGAAATGAAGTGGGTTAACTTCAAAAACAAATGACTGTAACATCGACTCCATGGATCAGCTCTGTAAGGGTCAGCAAAGCCTTCTGGAAGATACAGGCTTCAAACCCTCTTTATTTCACCTCCTGGCTGCATTGTCATTTTCTTCTTGATAGGAGCGAGCCCAGCTTCCCCTCCTCGGAAGCCTTAGTTTGCCAGCTGAGCAATAGTTTAAAAAGCCACTTTCATTCCATGTGAAACAAAAAGACTTGACCCAAAAGACTTAAGTTTCCTCTAGCTCTGACATTGTCAGGTGTGTAAGCAGCGGGGTGAGGTGCAGCCATACTCTCAGCAGAGACCCATTAGACCCAGGCCCTGACTTGGGATGGGGAGTCCTGGAGGGAGAGGGAGGTCTCCTCGGCCTCAGGGCTGCACGCTGAGATGGGTGTTGGGGTCGGTTCTTCCTCAGAGATCCTGGGAGCCCTGCTCTCTGTGCTGTCCATCTGGGTCATGACTGGGGTACTGGTGTACCTGGCGGTGGAGCGACTGATCTCTGGGAACTATGAGATCGAGGGGAAGACCATGCTGATAACGGCGGGCTGCGCTGTGGCTGTGAACATCCTGTAAGTCCCCCCCGCCTTCTCCTGTGCATGCAGTGTGTCTTCTGGGGGAAACAGGGCAGGCCACACCCCAGTACAGGCTACCGGAAAGGAAGGCCCCGAGCGGTCTGAGCTCTGGCATCTGGAACACTTGGGTTCTGCCTTAGGCCTGGGCCAGGTTCATCAGGAACTGGAAATCTGCGGCAGCATCCACTCCACCCCCTACCCATCCCCCCAATAACCTAGGAAGCTTCATATCTGAAGTGAGGAGGGGTTAGTACAGTTCTTACAGGATCAGATGTCCCTAGGGGGAAGAATCCAAGTTGTTTTTCAAGCGGATGTGACTGAAATCAGTGTCAGTGAGAGGCAGGGAGTGTAGAGCATCTGTCTCATTTGGGTTCTGTCTTCCTTGCTCAGTGGCCTAGGGCAAGTCACTTCCCTCCCTAAGACTCCGCTTCCCTACCTGTGACATGATGGGGGAACTGATGACCTCCATGGTGCCCTCCTGCTCTGAGATTTGACCCTCGGGCATCTTTGTGCCCAGATTTGGCCTGACATTGCAGTTGAATCCTTTCCCCCGTAGTACTCTGAACCAAGGCCACATGGGTCCGGCTCCTCATATAGTCAAAGGAATCACGCATTCTGGGGGCTTAGGATTTTTGCCCTACAGGGAGGCCAGCCCCTATGAGGGCTTCTACCTGGCTAATTTGAAGCCTCTACCTGCTACCTCAGTGGGCCCCTTGGCTTTGTCTCCACTTCCATAGAATGGGGTTGACTCTTCACCAGTCTGGCTACGGGCACAGCCATGACCATGGACACAGCCATGACCCCAGCCAGCAGCAGGAGAGCCCCAGTGTCCGAGCTGCCTTTATCCACGTGATAGGAGACTTGCTGCAGAGCCTGGGCATCCTGGTGGCGGCCTATATTTTGTACTTCAAGGTCAGAGCTGGGGACAGAGGGAGGTGGGCTGGGGGCTGGGCAGGGCGTAGATCATCTGGGGGCTCCTCTCTGCACAGGACCCTCTCCAGATTCTAGCTCCCTCCCAGCTCTTGGCAAAGGGGACATTTATCCAATTCCTGATTCTCACAACCCTTAACAGTACTTCTGATTCTCACAACAACCCTGAAGGGTAAGCAGTGGTGTTTTCTGAAGCCCAGAAAGGTTTAGTGACTTGCACCGCATCACACGGCTAGTAAGTTGTGGAGCCACATTGAAACGCAGCACTGTGTGCTGCTAAAGCCTGGGCATGGCCCATCACGTGGAGGCAGTGCGGTATATTGGAAAGAGCTGGGTGTTGGGTTTGGAGCCTGGCTCTGCCCCTTGCTAGCTGTGTGATGTAGAGTGATCCCCTTGCTGTAACTGAGCCGCAGTTTACCTACCTATAAAATGGGGGTGAGGGGCTATATGGTTTCTAAGATTCCACTTAGCCCTGTCCATGTCTCAGCCCCTTGGCAGGAGGGCTGGGAAGGGACTCTGCGTTATCTTGAACTGTGGTCTGTCGCGCCTCTCCTTCTGGGCATGGAATAAACTGGGAGGCAGGGCCAGGGTATGGCAGAGAGAGCTGCTCTTCCCACACAGCGCTGGGAGGGGAGGGAGAAGGGAAGCTGAGGTGTTGAACCCCAGCTCTGCCTTCCCTTTTTCCTGCAGCCTGAGTACAAGTATGTAGACCCCATCTGCACCTTCCTCTTTTCCGTCCTGGTCCTGGGGACGACCTTGACCATCCTGAGAGACGTGATCCTGGTGCTCATGGAAGGTGACTGGGCTTGGGGTTCCCTTTTTGCTCTTGGCTCTCCGCCTCTAATTGAAGTTCCAGGGGTAAGGGCTGGATCCCAGCACACTGGTGGGGAGCCAGGGTCTGGAGCCTGGCGCAGCCTGGGGCCCTAGGTTGACCCTGGCATGGGGCTGGCCCTCAGGTGTGGCTATTCCTGGAAATGTTCCCCTGACTATGCCTTCCCTTCCCCCTAGGCCCAACGGTGCCTCCCCCACCCCTGCCTCCCACCCCCAGATGTGTCCTCCCTGCCTAGTCAGGTGGTTCCTGGGTTGGGCCTAGAGCACCTGGCACCCTAGCCCTTCCCTATACACTTCCTCAGTCTCAATCTGCCTTCCCTCAGGCATTGCACAGGGGGCAGACTAAGGCTTAGACAACAAAAAAAACCCAGTCAGTGTTGGATGAGGCTGCTGAATCTATGGACCAGGTCATACCTTTTCTTCTCTGCAGCCCTTGCCTCAGGAGGATGTGGCTGGGCTTCGAGGGGTGCTGGGGGGTGGTGAATGGTATGCCCTGAGGTAGCACACTCGTCATCCAGCTTTCTTGTGCCCCAGGTCTTGGGTCAGGGGTGTCTGTGTGGGCAGAGTCAAACGGAATCCTAGTTTAGGGTCAGCAGGAATGTCCGGCTGCTGGTCAGAGCTTTTCCTCCAAGAATGTGACTGACCCAGATAAAAATGGTGATGACGCCCCATGCAGGTACAGCAGTCTCCAGGTTCCCTTTTTTCCACTACCAACAACAACAACGACACCCCCACAAAGCCGGTCTCTTTTTACTGAACACCTACTATGGGCTAGGCACTGTTCCAGGCAATGTGGACAAAACAGGCTGTCCTGCTCTCATGGAGTTTCCAATTTAGAGGGGGAGACAGACAAGAAACTAACAAACAAGATCGTTTCAGACAGTAAGTGCTGAGGAAAACATCACAGGGTGATATCGCGGAGATCATTTGGGAGGTAGGGGCAACAGCAGATCTAGCCAAGGAGCTCTTCTGAGATGACACTGGGGGAGCAGGAATCAGTATGGGTGGAAGGGAGCCGCTTCCCTCAGCCCCTACCCTGCTGTCCCCAGGGACGCCCAAGGGCGTGGACTTCACAGCTGTTCGGGATCTGCTGCTGTCGGTGGAGGGGGTGGAAGCCTTGCACAGCCTGCACATCTGGGCGCTGACCGTGGCTCAGCCTGTGCTGTCTGTCCACATCGCCGTCGGTGAGTGGTGGGCACACCGCAGGGTGGGGTGAGGGAGAGAGGCAGCCAGAGGCCTGGGCACTGCTGATGGGTCCAGGTGATTCCAGATGTTGGCGGTGCCCGTGCTTTGAAGCTGGCCCCATGCTGACTGCTGAGCACACATTATTTCATTTGACCATCACAACCCCACTTCCAGATGAAGAACCTGAGGCTGGAGGAGTGGTGGGGTAGTAGAGTCACTCGCCCAGGCTTTTACAACTAAGTGGCAGAGGAAAGCCTTAACGCCAGTGCCTTTCCTGTTCTTTCAGGACTGTGGCAGGTGTGGGAACTGGGGGTCACCTGGTACAGGAGTGGAACCTGGGCTTTCTTGATGTTCATGGTCACCTGTACTGTTCTTCTGTGGGTAGGGCAAGAGAATTGGGCTCCTGATTGTTTCTAAGGGCCCAAAAGTGAGTAAATGTTTCTCTCGTGCCTCCCCTGGTATGTTCTCTTGGCCTCCAGCTCAGAACACAGATGCCCAAGCTGTGCTGAAGGCAGCCAGCGCTTGCCTACAGGGGAAGTTCTACTTCCACACCATCACCATCCAGATCGAGGACTACTCTGAGGACATGAAGGACTGTCAGGCATGCCAGGGCCCCTCGGACTGACGGCCTTGCCAGGTGCCAACTGGAGCATGGACAGGGCCTCCAAGTGGCGGGGCTGAGTGTCCCTCAAGCCCAGCCAGGACTCTGTTTACCTTGGCTGTGTTATCAACCAGAACCATCCCTGATCTTAGTCCCATGTGCAGTGTGGAGGAGGAGCCTTGCCCACTCCAGGAATGAGGCTCTTCCCCTGCCCCCCCCATCTGACTACAGCCAGCCCCAGGATGGGGACTCTGCCAGGGTAAAGCTAGTATAACTCGACTCCTCCCCTTTCTGGGTCAGCTCCTGTCGGGACTGGGTTTGGGCCTAATATTCAGCCAATGCTGTCTTACTACCACCCTCGGGAGAAGGCGGTGAGGCACAGTCAGGGGTGTTGGAGGGGAGCCTGGCTTCAACATCCCCTGCCTGCCTGCCTGCCTCATTTCCCTTTTCCAATCTGTCTGGCCTTTGCCTTATGGATCTGGAAAGATGCCTGGGGACAGAGCCCACTCCCTCTTTCTCTAAGGATGATCTGATTTAAGGAGGACATGGGGTTTGGGGAGTTGTAAGTGAGACAGGTTAGGGAGCCAGGACCAGTGCAGTAGGGAAACTGAGACAGAGAGTTAAATGGCCAGGCCATTTATGACCATCTAGTAAATCACAAACTCCTATCTTCCCCAGCTCTTAAGGATGCTTGAGAGTAAATGGTTTACGCTTCTCCCCAACCAGAGGGTAATAGCTTAAATCACCCTACTCAGGGAGATAGACAATAAGAATCCAGTTAGTGCCATTAGTGCCATCCACACCCAAGGATGGATGAAGTCAGGGGAATCAATCTCATTTTGGTGCATCAGCATAAAGCTGATAAATATTCTATTGAGACCCTCCCCTAAGAGCTCCCCTGAACTCCTAGCCTGTAAAGCCCTCAGGATGGCCCCGCCCGGTGGCTCAGGTGGCTGGGGCATCGCCCTGTACACCGAAAGGCTAGGGGCTCGATGCCCAGTCAGGACACAGACCTAGGTTGTGGATTTGATCCAATTGATGTTTCTCTTTCACACAGATGATTCTCTCTCTCTAAAATCAATAAACACTTTAAAAATTAAAAAAAAGAAAACAAAAAAAACCCCAAGATGAAGAACCACTGTGCCTGTGCCTTTCCCTTCACCTGTTTCTTCCCCCCAGGGATGTTCCCTCTGCCTTTCTCCTAAGCTCCAAGGGCCCTTCTACGACCTCTGTAACTTTCTCTTATAGTTCGAGTCCTTAGCTCTGAAACTTTCTTTGCACAACTCAAAAACTGAGGTCTAATTTCACCGCCAACACTGGCGGTAACATAAGGACCCTGTGCTCTCCTGCATGTGCCCCTGAGATGGGGAGTCAGGGGCGCCGGAAGCCCATCTGTGTGGTAGTCACTTCAGCTGTGAGCCGAATGTTTCCCTTTCCTGGAGAGAGGAGGCTCCTGACTAGGTAAGGACCTGGCTGGTTTCCTCTTTGCTTACTGCTCCAGCCCAGGAAGCTGTGCCAATATAAAGATACCCTTAGTCACAGTTGGGAGAAGCAGGAACATCATCTTGGGTCCTGCCCTAAGCACCTCACAGCTCCTGGGCCACTTCTCAGCCTGATAATGTCCTGGGGAACTCAGCCTGAAATCGGATCTCATTGGGCCAGCTGTTGCCCATATGGCCTGACCTACTCTGAACTTGGGGACAGAGGACAAAGAGGGGCCATAAAATTGGGACAGGAGACCCTGGCTTTCTGGAGTGTGTGAAGGTTCCTGAATTAGGGGGTGGCTTATGTGTGTGTGTTTGTTTTTTTCTTTTAAAGATTTTATTTTTAGAGGGAGGGAGAAAGAGAGGACGAGAAACATCAGTGTGTGAGAGACTGGTCGGTTGCCTCTCGCATACCCCCAACTGTGCCTCGACTGGGAATTAAAACTACAACCTTTTGGTTCACAGCCTGGCACTCAATCTGCTGAGCCACACCAGCCAGGGCTGTTTGTTTACTTTTGGCTTGTGTTTATAAGATGAATGGGGGAAACCTGTCCCCAATCTCACAGAGCGTTAACACCTACCTCACAGGGTTGTTGTGAGGACTGGAGCCAAAGTCTGCTAAGCACCTGGCCCCTGAAGAGTGGTTACTTTTATCTTTATTCTGGAAGACGCAGCATGAGGCTGCCTTGTTGAGGAACTTTGTGGGCTTCCCAGTCTCCCCAGGAGCAGCGCTGAATTTATCTTGACCCTGTCATTACCCATGGCAAGAGGAGGGGGCTTGCCAACTCACCTCCTGCTCTGAGCCTCCCCCTTCTCTTCTGTGAAATGGTGTCTCTGTGCCTTTCTAGCACTGACATGCAGAGTTGCCTATGACCTAGGTCACTGGGTTCTTCAGCCCCTCAAAATCAGTGGGAAGTCATTTTGTGTTGGAAATGCGTGTGCGGGGCTGCTAATGGCCGTGCTCCACTCCGCCCCAATCTCAGGGGGATCAACGCCCCCTCGGCAATGGCAGGCCCCAGGAACCAGGACCCTGAGCTTCGCTCTCTGCTGAGTCCTTACCCCCTCTCCAGTCATTACAGTGTTCCATTTTTACAGATGAGAAAACTCAGAGAGGTTGAGTCATTGGCCTTAAGTCACACAGCCAGGGTGAGGCAGGTCTGGGGCTTCTGCCTCATTCCGCTAGGCTTGTCCCTGCAGCAGGGGTTGGGGATCTGCTCTGGGCTGCATGTTGTTACAGTGTGAGTCCTTGGGCCTTGCAGTGCCCTCCCCGTGGGCAAGGCTATGCCAAGGCAGTTCAGTGTTCTGGGTGCCACAGCTGTGACTGGAGAGGGGAAAGGTGCCTCTTTTCCCTGGCTGGGCCTGGCACTCAGAGTCCTGTGCCCTGGGAAGTCTGCCTGGGCTGCAGCTGTGTGCTTTCTAACCCACCGGCAACTGTTCCTGACCCTGGGCGAGGCTGCCTCTGATCTTCTTTAACTCCCAGTCTCCCCCACCACCTCAAGAATCTAGCAGCCCCATGCCTCCCAAGAGAGAGCCTTCTCACCGCCTGAGTCCCACCTGAGTCATCCAGAGGGCAGAGGTCAAGCTGGAGAATGGGGGTGGGAAGCCTTGGAGAGGCCTTGGGGGACAGCATGTTCTGGCCAGGGAACTAGTCACGGGAGTTTCCAAAGCGAGGCCATCAACGCAGAAAAACACCTGACACCCTGGACCTGGGCTGTACCCAGTCTTCCCCCACCCCTCTAGAGCTGTCCCCCTCCCAGGTGCCTCCCCGGCGCAGCTGCCTAGGGGTATTTATAGCCTGAGTTTGGGCGAGCAAGGACGTTCGCTTTATTTCGGAAGTGATAATTCCAGTCCCAGGTGGATGAACCCGGGAGAACCCAGCGTCCCTTCCCCCACTGCACTCTCACCTACAGGCGCCCCGGCTTTTGCTCTCACCCAGCCCACCTAGAAATAGCCCTGCTTGGTCCTAAGTGTGTAGGCCAAAAAGTGGGGCTGTTCTTTCAGATACTTCCCTACTCTCTTGAGTTTCCAGACATCAGGCTGCACACCACCGAGCCTTCCAGTTCCCCTACTGGAGCGCGGAGCAGCGCTGACCTCTAGTGGTCAAAGCTGGTAATGCAGGGCGATGGCTATGGCTGAGCCTGAGCTGTGGGTCCCGGGCCGGGCAGGGGTCACCGTCTGCGTTCTCATCCCTTTCCTCCCCTCCCCACTCTGTTCCGCCCGGTCGGGAAGGAAGCCGAAACTAGCTTCCTGGGGCCTCTTTGCTCCCTCTCTGGGGCTTGAGGATCGCACCTGGCAACCCAGGCGTCTGTGGTTAAGCTGCCTTCCCACCGGACTGGGATGGAGTTTCGTCTCCTCATTCGTGTCCACACTCCCACCACTGTCCTCACAGGGCCAGGCACGCAGTTGATGTTTCTTCCATTATCTGTTCTTCAAATATTCGTAGCGCACCTGCTAGGCCAGAGAGAGGAGAACACAGCTCTGCCTTTTCGGGGCTCCCAGACATGGACCGTGCTGGGACTGCGAGAAACACCTGGCTATAAAAGCTCAGAAGAGACCAAATCGATCTCGAGAAGGGATGCGGTGAGACCAGTCCCTGTGGGAGGGGAGGATTTGAAAGTCAAGAAGTCAGCTGGGCAGAGGGGTTGGCCCTAGCAGAGGCACGGAGACAGACGGCGCAGCGCACCCGAGAACAGTCATCGGCCGCTGGGTTGGATAGTAAGACGAGGTCCCGCCCCGTTCCGAGCACTATGACTATGATTGGCTAATCGGGATCTGACGTGTTGGCCAACTGGGCTCCATAATTGGTCCCTAGATGTCTCTGAGGAGGAAACATCTGAGCCGAGCCACCTCCTCTAAGCAGGTGTAACGCCCCCGGGAGTAAGGAAGGGGTCTCTGTGGGTCCTGCTTAGGGCTTCTCCAGCCTGCGATACTTCTTACGAAGCACTGACACCGGGTCCTTGAAGAGCACTGGGTCCAGGCGGAGGCGAGAGGACACCAGGGGCATGTGGCCGAACGCTGCCGCCATCCGGTTGATGCAGCCTTGGTCTACGGGCTGCAGCGCAGTCGCGGGCCCCAGACCGCCAGACTTCTAAGAGGGGGAGGAGAAATACGTCGGAGGATTTTCTGTCTTTCTGAACCCTGCCTCTCCCCGCCCCCTGAAGCAGAAAGAATCAGGTTAGCTGGGGCCGGGGAGCACTTCCCACTACCCTTCCCAGTGCCCCTCCATCCTCACCAGTGGTGGTCTGGCTTCCGGATGCCTCTTCCCATAGGGCACCTTGATAGGGGGCAGCTTGGTGACTGCTGCTACTAGGAAGTTCATGAGGACATCCACACAGGCGGGTGTGTCATCTGCCAGGCTCCTCAGAGCCTTGGGCAGGGAGTGGGTGAAGAGGGTGTGGTAATACCTGGGCAAAAGGGGAAGACAGAGAGAGGCAGCAACCGAGTTCACCCCCCTCCCCAGGCCTCATTCCCCCTGTCCTGACCCCTCACTCTCCCTTTGACCCCAATCTCCAAGCCTTTTGCAAAATCCCAGCTTCCTTCTCCGAGCCCTGGCCATGGCCATGTCAGAGAGCCCCCCACTGCAAGTACAAATGGCACTGTGCTGATGGCGCTGCAACCGCCTCCCGCTGTTCTGCGCTCTGTGGCTTGCCTGTGGCCATGCTGGACCTCCTGCTCCCTGGGGCCCCTACCCCAGGCTCTGAGGAATTAACTCAGACCCATACTGAGGGGGGATCCCCTGGCTCCAAGGCCATCAAACATGGCGGCCCAAAACCAGTTTCTGGAAGGCTGTGGACTAATGAGGCTGGTGTAGCCCCAAGTGAGCCTTGCTTCACACAGCCCTCCTGCTGAACAGCCTGGGCCCCTGCAGACCTTAGGGGTATTCCTCGCTCTGCTGAGAATTCCTGGCAAGAGGTGCCATGTTTGGTTTAAACATGTTCAGGTTAAGGAACCCCTCTAAAGAGGCCCTCTAGGATTCAGCCCCTGCCCCAGGACTGGGGTACTTGTGCAGTCCCCAGTTCATCACACACACATTTTTAAAAAAAACTTATTAAAATTTCTTTTATCATTTGATTATCACACCAACCCTATGAGGTGAATATATTTTATAGATGAGGAAGCTGAACCTCAGGAAATAGGAGGAGACTTGCCCATCACACAGCTGTGGCATGGCAGGCCTGGGCCTTGAACCAGGATCTCTGGGTTCTAGGCTGACTACTGTGTTCACTCCCACACCACCCTGCTCCTGGTTAACGAGGGGGTTGCTGACCCTCTGACCCTGGGGCCAGGGTGGCTGCCTGTACCTATGGTAGAAGGCGGCTGAGCTGAGGACCATGGAGAATTCGTTGACCCTCTCAGCAGTGCAGCCCCAGCCACCCTGGGCCTCATCCCAGAAGTGGCTCCACGTCAGAAAACCCACCATCCGCTCCGGGAAGCTCTGCCACACCGCAAAAGCGAAGTCCACCTGGGGAGACATTTAAGTGAGGTCTGAGAGAGGAACATCCAGAGATACAAACGCAAAGCCAGCCTGGACTCAGGAAGAGGAGGTCAGAGTGTGAAAGTTTCCAGAGGAGGCTTAGGGGAAAATTTTCGGCTGGGATCTGAAAAAAAAGTATTTTCAAAAGAGTCTGCAGAAAGCTTCTATTAGATTTCTGAGGAGGAAGCTGAGTAGCTCGCTGGGGTGGTTTCAAAAGCAGGAGACCGGATCTCTTGACATCTGGCCCTCCCAGCTCTGGGAATCCAAGGGGCCACCAGGGCCCGCTGGCTCAGTCCCCACCCACACCAGGCTCTTCTTGGACCCAGTCCACACCTCACTTGTAGAAAGACTGCTGTGAGTGTCGAGGCTGAGGATGGCATCGGTGCTGACGGCGCTGTACGGGAAGAAGCGGTCGGTTACCTGCAGTGGGAGAGAGGGGAGGGCAACTGAGCTGTGGGAACCTCCCCAGGTTCCCACAGTGGATATATGAGTATGTGCTAAGCAGGAGTCCTGCAGGCATCTTGTAAAAAAACAAACAAACAAACAAACAAAAACAAAAAACACTGAAAACAGCAAGTCTGCCCTGAATTTGTTATTTTACCTCTCTGGAATTCAATTTCCCCTTTGGTAAAATGGGTGAGTTGGTGTCTAGGGGTCCTTCCAGTTCTGATATCTCAGGATTCTTCCCTTGCTCATTGGATGCTCACCTCAACCCTGGAAGGGGTTGTCAAATGTCCTTTGTTTGAAAGAAACAGGTTCAGCCCTGGCTGCTGTGGCTCAGTTGGTTGGAGCATCATCCCATAGACTGAAAGATTGTGAGTTTGATTCCTGGTCAGGGCACATACCCAGGTTGCAGGTTCAATCCCCAGTTGGGGCACATATGAAAAGGCAACCAGTATTTCTCTCTCTCTCCCCATTCCTCTCTCTCTAAAAGCAACGAAAAAAAAATGTCCTCAAATGAGGACAGAAAGGAAGACACAGATCCAGAGATGAAGGGACTTGCCCAGAACCACACAGCAAGCAGGCGGCTCATACCATCCCAGGTTCACAGAAGACACCCTTCTCTGGCCCATTTGCTGCCATCTGTCCATGTTTCCTCAGGATCCCAAGTTTCTCGTCTGTCTGTCATCTGAAACATCGTGTACTCCCTCTACCTTCCCTCATCTCATAAAACCCCAGTTCTCTGGAAGCACAGTTCACAAGGGCCAGGGATGAAAGAGAATCATTTCTATTAGGTCTGTAGGCAAAACCTCCTGCCTGATTTCTTTAGGCCCAACATGAAGTCCAGCTTTGGCTCAGACCCAAGTAAATGCCCTCCCCAGTTCCCAGCTTTCCAGGGCTGAACCCACCCCTTCCACACCCCTCCCCATCCCTCACCTTCCTGTGCCCTTCAATGACTATCAAGGGCACTGCTGTCTCAGGCCACCTGGGTGGGGGTGGCTTGTCGTTGCTCCAGAGAACCAAGATCTAGGAGGAAATGGGGTGTTACTGAAGTGGGGCAGGAAGATCCCAGGAGTCTTCTTTCTCGGGATGGAAGAAATATGGGCGAGCAGCTGTATCTATGAGTTTGGGAGAAGTCAGTTGGAGCCAAGGTCCTTTCATTACTGCCCTGTCCTTGCCTCTGCGCTTCTGGAGAGCAGGAATTTCAGTGACATGAAGGTAGTGGCATTAGAACTCGAGAGCTCTAGTGGTGGCAGCCCCGGCCTGGATCGCAACCCTATGTCCCATACGCATCTTCTCGCAAAGATTTTCATTCTCATCCTCCTGTTCTGTCATCATTCCCAGCCCAGCTCATACGTCCCGTCTTTGTTGTCGCTCCATCTGCGCCCCGGCTGAGCTCACTGCTTCCCCCTTCTGCAAATACTCTCACCAGTCCGTCTGGCTTCTCTTTACATTTGACAGCCTGTGTGCTAAGAAATGCTAACTGAGTCTGCATCCCAGGGTACAACCCTTTCTTTCCTGCCTTTTCTCTGCATCCTCACGTCAAGCCTGCGGCCCGGTGCTCAGAAAGTGACTGCTGGGTGAACAGATGAGTGAACACCGGTATGTTTATTTCTCCAGCCTTCCCAAGAGGTACCTCTTTTGAGATGGAGTCATCAATTTCCTTGGGGAGATGGAGAGGAGGTTGGGGGGAAAGTACAAGAAACTTGGGAATTAAGGAAGAAGGCAGCAAGGGCACTTGAAAGTCCTCCCTGTGCCTCCCCTCCCTCAAAATGTGTGGTTATCTTTGGGATCTAGGTGTCTTCAATGGTCCTGCCCTGCTTTTTTGCTCCCACCCTGGATCCCAGGACCCCAGCTGGCAAGGGGACAGACCTGGGCACAGTGCTGAGAGTCTGCCACCGCCTGGATGAGCTTCAGAGGGGGCTGGCCTGGGGCCCCCACCCAGATCAGGGCGCTGAACCTGCCTGCAGGGTGAGAGCCTGGGGGAATGAGACACAGGCTATTAGGGTGGGAGGGGACAGAATCCCCTGGAGAGGGAGTGGGTTTGGGGACCGTGGGAGCCAAGAGAGATGTTGGGTACCTGGGGAGGGCCTTGGTGGGGCTCTGTGGTTGAGACTGGGAGGAGCTTGGGGAGAGTGGATGAGGGGACTTCAGGTTGTCCCATTCCCAGGACATACCCTGCTGTAGGTAATAGAAGGGGAAGTCCGAGGGGCTTGTGGAAAAGGTGGGCAGGGCCAGGAGGGCCCCCGGGGGGCTGTTCCACAACAGTGAGGGGTGAGCAGACACTCCGAGGATCCGGTCCTGAATAATCTGTAAAATGAGAGCGGGCTCTGCAGGGCGAGTGGCCAGGGTGGCAGTAAACGGGGTCTGAGGATGTGAGGACCTGGCTAGCCCCATACCCCCCTCGGGCCACGGGAGGGGGTGGCAGCTGCAGCACCCAACCCCCGGGGACAGAAGGGTTCAGACACAGAAATACAGAGTAGAGGACGCTTGGCCATGGTGTCCAGAGTTGGCAGATGTTGGGGAGCTTGCTACCTCCCTCTCCGTCCTCACGTATCACAGACATCACTTAAAGCTCATGACATTCTTTCCAGACCCAGAATCCCTCCCACACAGCACCAGGGCAGCCGGTGCCCATCAAATGGAGTTGGTACGTGCTGTGGGACCTATTTGCCACAGCTGTCCCTCTATAGATGGGGAAACTGCGGCCACCACTGGGGAAGGAACCCATTCAAGAGCCCCAGTGTCAGATTCATCCCAGAAGCACCTTTAAGGGGGAAGCCCAAACACGGCAGAGGACGTGTCCTGAGAGAGGTGAGTCAGGAGCCAAGAGCCAGGGGCCCTACCAGGCAAGTCCCCTTTACCTCTAGAGTGGTATGGATGACCTTCTCCACGGAGGAGAAGTAGGTGTCCCACAGAAACTGGGTCTGCTGACGCAGCGTGAGGACCCGCGTCAGGGGCATCTCCTGGAGGGCAGCCAGGACCTGGGCCACCGAGGGAGAAGAGAAGAAGCGGGCATGGGGCCTTGTCAGGCCCTGACTGACCCTGAGGTGGGGACAACCTGGGGTTGGAGGTCTGGGAACCAGAAGCCCTCTCCCCATGGTTCTCCAGAGTTAGCAGCAGCCACCCTCAGCGAAGTCCCCGGCAACACAGCACCGAGAGTTCAAGGGTCACAGAGAGTTGAGTTTAAATGCCATTTAGTAATTGTGTGACCGTGGACTAACTACTTAACCTCTCTGAGTGTTTCCTCATCTGTAAAGTGGGGATAATAATGGTACCGGCCGCACAGGGTGGTTGTAAGGATTAAGTGAGGTGGTGCTTGTTAAGTGCTCAGCATGTCATAGAGGCTCAGTGCGCGGGGGCTGTTGTTAACTCCCGGCGCCACTGTCACTGCTCAGCAGTCTGAGGCTCACACACATGTTTCTCAGAGCCCAGCAAAATCAGTTTCATCAGATGGGAAAGTCACTGTCTTTTCCTTTGCCACCCAAAGCCCCATGGGGGCGCTCCCGTTTTGGATTGTGTGTCTGTGGTCTTCCCATGAACTGGGTATTTAGGTATTCATGGACCAGCTGGACCGGCCCATGGAGATCAACTGGTCTAACTCCTCCCATTGTACATATGGGGAAACTGAGGCTGAAAGAAGCCCAGGACTTGCTCTCAGAACCCTCTGGAGTCTGCCTCCATAATATCCAATGGAGTCCTTGGGACTTGGACTGAGGGGCAAAATCATCAATATACTACATAGACGAGGGATAAGAATGAGAACCAAGGCTAGCCTGGGGGCTGGGATCCCGGGGCCCCTCCCATGTCCTGGGTCCAGTCCCCGCCCCATGGACAGGGCCCTCGGCTACCTGAAGTGGGAGCCTCTCGTCAGCTACAATGGCCGCCTTGGTCCAATCGATGACCTCGGAGAAGGGCAGCTCCCAGCGAGGGCTGAGAAGTACAGGGATGCAGCCAGCCTGGGGGGCAGGGGTGTCACTGGGGAGCCCAGTCCGGCCCTACATGTACTCACCCACCTCCCAGTTCCAAGGCAGCAGCTGCTGCCGTGGGGAGCAAGGAGCAAGGAGGAGAGAAAAGTGGCTTTGGGAGAGTGCGGGTTGTTCAGCAGGGGGCGAGGTGAATGGGGCTATCGGCACACCCGAGTCCCAGAGTAAAGGATTAAAGGGCAGCTCACGGCTCCTTCCCCTTGGCCTGGGTCCCAGGGGACCCTGGCAGCTCCGATGTGGGGGGGTCAGGGACGGGGGTGCCCAAGTTAGGGTTGTACCTGCAGGGCTTGGAGGAAGTGCAAGGCATCAGGACGGCGGCTGCGGCCCGGGATGAGGCAGAAAGTGGCATTGGGCAGCGTTGCCCCAGGGTGGGTCCTAAAGAGGCACAGGAGGGTATGTGTAGCATACCCGAGGCCTGAGACAGCTGCCCCCCCCCACCTGGATCACTCGATGACCCCTCTCCATCTCCACAGCAACACTCCCAAATTCACAATTACAAACCCGCCATTGTGTTCTCATATGTTTACAAACACTTGTGCACAAGCAGGGCTACACACTGATACACGTACACAAGCGCCAGCCTCACACTCACCCTCACCCACAGCGGGGCCGGGAGGCAGGAGCCCAGGTTCTAGCTCTGCCTCTGCCCTTGCTGGTCTTAGAAACCTCCCTTCTCTTCTCTAGACCTCGGTTTCCTCGTTTGCAAGATGGGAGGTGGTGGGACCTGACTTTCCAAGACAGGTCTGACTTGGACGAGCCTGTGTTTGCCCTCCCACAGCTCTGCCACACGCAGACTCTCAGGCAGCCCTCACCTGAGTGGCCTCCATGCCCTGCCTCCCCCACCCCCATCCCGAGAGCCCAGGCCCATGAAAGGCTCCTCTGTCATGAGGTGGGCTGGGCCCCCAGCCTGGAACCACACAGGAAGCTGCTGCCCAGAGGCCCCTCACCCGGAGGACAGGCCTCCTCTGTTCCTCCCACCTCCTCCCCCAGCTCCAGGGCCACACTCAGGCTATGTGTGCCTGTGGGGGAAGGGGGGGGGTCACAGCCTCCTCAGAGCCATGTCCCTGGGACTGCCCACCAGAGAAGCAGTGCCCGGGACCTCGCTGCTGGGGCGGGGTGGGCGGCGGGCAGGCAGGACTACTGGGCTCACGAGTCTGCTCAGAGGAGGACTGAGGAAGAGGGCCCAGAGGGTCCCAGGATCCTCCTCAGCTACAGTGTATCTGGTCCTCAGTCTGAGCATTCAAGAAGCAGTCCTGGGAAACCTTAGTCAGTCTCTGGACCAGCCCCCATTGAACAGATGGGGAGACTGAGTCCCAGAATCAAAGATGAGCTCAGGGTCTCAGCAAAGGTTAGCCGGACTGGAGCTAGAACCAAGGTGTGCTAACTCGGGATCCTGAGGTGTTTGAACTACTCAGAGCCGCTGCCTTCTTTCGCCAGTGCTCAGGTGGCCACCAGGCTTTCCCTGGAAGAAGCCATAAGTTAAACAACAGAACACCCTTCGCCTCATTAAGAGCAGCAGCAGCAGCCAGCTATACCACCCCCGTAACCCGAGTAGAGCCTCAAGGGACTAAAGGCTTAACCTTTAAACTAAAGCTTAAGGTTAAGGCTTCAGAGAACCCAGAAACAAAGAGCCTGTTGAACGAACTACACCCCTCAGCCCTCAGTAGCCTTCACTGTTCCCTCTCTTTGAATGTCCTTCTACCTTACCCTGGAGCACCCCTCCTTGCCTTGCAGCCCAAGGAATCCTGCTCGATCTTAACACCTAAGCTGAAACACCACCTCCTCTAGGAAGCCTTCCTGGTCTCTCTGGAGATGGCTCCCTCCTCTCTGCTCCCACAGCCCCATGCGCACTGCAGCGGTAGTGAGCCAAGCTGACCTTTGTTGAGCACACACTTTGTTCCTGGCACTGTTCTAAGTGCTTGACTTTCATTACCACAGTTCCTTTTCACAGCAGCGCTATGAGACAGGAGGTGCCTGCTGTTAGTGTCACATATTACAGATGAGGAAACTGAGGCCTGCAGAAGTCACATAGCTCTGAAGTACAGGAGGCAGGCAGGCCGCTTGCACAGCCTCTCTATGTTTAACAGCGTCTGTCATAAGCAGGGACTCCTACAAGACAGAGCTACTTGAGGACAGGGCTATGCCTCCCTCATCTCAGTATCTCTAGGGCCTAGCAGAGTGCCTGGCAGAGAATGAGGCACTCAGTAGGTGCTAAATGAATGACTTCTCAGTGTTCTGTAGAGGCTAGACCCGGGATGAATGGACCCAATCCATTCTGAAAAGTCAGTTTCAGGACAAATCTTAGTAATGAAGCTGTTGTGAGTAGTCAGTGGATGGGCTTGGAAGGTAGTGAGTTCCCCATCAGTAGTGGTAAATAAGCAGAGGCTGGAGGAGTATGTGTATATGTGTGTGTGTGTTATAGAAGGGTCATTGTGGCAACTGCCAATGAATTCTCAGGGTTCCATGACCAGGTAAGGTACTTGCTGTGGAATCAGGGCCTCAGTGCTCAAGGCTGGAGTCCACATGGCTCTCTACCTGCCTTCATATGCCCTAGGTACTTACTTTGGCCTTTGTGACCCCTCTGCCATAAAACAATGGATAAAAATTATACTTGATGTGTTGCTATAAACACGAACATGTTAATATTACATATGAAAATATTTTCTTCTCCCTAAAAGTTCATTTTTTTCTCCTGATTTTGAAAGAACTGAAAACATTTTCATAGGCCCCTAAAACTGTCATGGGCCCTAGGCAATGGACCTCCTGTGCCCAGTGGAGATGGGACAAGGGACTTTAAAACCTGCATTGAATTTATGTAAATAAACAAAAAAAGCGGAGAGCATAGGTTCATGTTGCTTGTACACACACAGAGCACCTCAGAAAAGACACAAGAGAAACCAGCAGCGGTGTTTGGTTCCAGGAAGGAAAACGGGGTGGCCAGAGATGGGGAGGGAGGGAGTTTTACTGTGTACCCTTTTGTGCCTTTGGAATTTTATACCATGTGAATGAATTCCCTATTCATAAAAATAAATAACAATTTTAATGGGTGGAGACTTATTCCAAAGCAACAGGAGAACTGTTCAACAAAGGTGGAAAAACACGGGATTTGGAGCCAGAAGTGCAGGGTTTAATCTCAGTGCCAAGCTCCTGATCAGAAACATGAGGGGAGGCTGTGATGAATCACAGAGCTTGTCACCAAAGGCCCTAGGCTTCCCCCTCTCCCTCTCTGCACCTCAGTTTCCTGTTCCCTGAAATGGGAACACTAATACCTCCCGTGGAGGGTGCATCAGGGGATTAGGCATGACTTCTGTAAGGTGGCTAGCACAGCACCCGGCCCAGAGCAAGCTTTCCCTAAGAATTCACTTCGTCCCCTCCCCCTCTCCCCTGCCAGCTGAGGGAATGTGGGACAGTGGCAGGGACTGTGAATCGCCTCTTTCTCTGGCCAGCAGTTGTTTATTCAGGCCACTTTCCAGGGGCTGGCCCCATGGCCGGAGGCCTCCCTCTCTCACTCTGTCCCTATACTGTCCGGCTTGCTCAGGCAGCTACCTGGCACTTTAGGGAAACTGAGGCTCAAACTGCCCTAGTGACTAGAACTCCTGTTGCCTACAGGTGGAATGAAGCCAAAGACAGAACTTCTTGACATTCAGAGGACTATATTAGAGCCTGCCAGCCATCATACCTTGGAAATAAACTTATCAAAAAATGCTACTCAGAGTGTGGGCCACACTGATGAGAAAACCTCGGCCAGTTCTGGCCAGTTTGGGGCCAATCAGTAAACTGCGCAGCTCCCTAACTCTCAGTTTCTCCAAGAAGTTCAGGCTGCGATAACTTTCAGATTCACCAATAATAGCCAACTGCATTTAGCAGTAACTAAAGTCAGCTGAAAGAAGAACTTTCTGTGCAAGAAGAAGGAAGTGCCAAGTCAGAAACGTGACCCGGGGCATAGTGAGTGGAGAGTTTTGTCACCAAAGGTGAGCTCTGAGCTGGAGGTGCCTGGGTGATCCTGGCATTTCAGGTAACTGCAGAAGATGTCTGCTGGGGCGGGTCCTGGCTGAAGGGCTGTGGGAGCTGAAGGGGGGAAATTCTGTTCTTACCCCTGGCTGTGGGGCTCCCTAGAGGAAGTAGAGGGATTCATTCCCACAAGTGCCCTTTGGCTGAGAGAAGCCCCAGAAGCCCCAAGTGGAGGCAAAAATGGAGCGTGGCCACGTGGAGAATTCCTGGGAGGGAAGTAGAGCTCAGAATAGCCCATGTTATTCCAGCAGAGAGCAGCGAGGCGCCTGGGGGAGGGAGGGAGGGAAGGAGACCAGGGTGACAGGTTCCAACTCAGGTCTGCCCTGGGGGATGGAGAGAGAACCCTCTTCCATCTCCAGGGTCCTTGGACAACCTCAGGAGGATGTTCATTCTTGCCTGCCCAGCCAGCCTTTGGATGCTGCTGGCCTCCTGGAGGTGCAGAGGGGTTAGGGTGCTTGGGGGTTAATTGCTCTGTCACCTGAGGTATGCCACCCCAACTAGCCCAGGTAGAGAGAAGTTTCTGAAGGAGCTCTCCAAGTGCCCTAGGCCAGCGCCCTTTCTATGTATTCAGAACTCCCACTGGCAGGAAGTTCTTCTGTAGGTCTAACCTAATTCATATGTGCTGTAACCAAAGGCTGTTTCCTTAATAGGTTAACCCCCAAAATTTGACATAAGAGCAGCTCCCATCTGTGATTAATCACCATGGCTCTGTGGCATTTGACAGAGTTGATCATAAGCTGTCTCTTAGAACTCAGAATTCTAATGCCGAAGGCCTTGGAGACAGGCGATTCTGAGCTAAACTGCTGCCTGTGCCCCTTCTGGCTGGGTGGCCTCAAACAATTACTTAACCTCTCTGAGCTTCGGTGACTGGCACACAAACATTTAATGATAGCAATGAGTATTATCTTACTTTAATCATTATTTATGAAAGTGCTTAGCACAGAGCAGACACTATAGAAGTGTATGTTAAATAAAATATTAGTGAAGGGGCGAGTGGCATAAGCGAAAAAGAGTAAGAGCAAGTCATATTTTATGTTTTTAAAGATCCCCAAGGGAGAACTCCAAAACTTGCCTTGGACCTCTTGCAGGTGGTAACTTGACTCCCTCCTGCTATAGCTGGTTCTCCCCTCTCAATCCTGCCCTCTACCCTGGCCTCTGGGCTTGCTCCCATTACAGACCCCTCTCATCCAGCCCCCAAGGGGAAAGGTCCACTTACTGCTCAGGTCCGTGGTCCTGCTCACAGTGCCCATCCCAGGGGCAGGCAGAGGAGTTGGTACCTGCCGTGCGCCACCCACCCCTCTCTTCCGCCAGGGCTAGCAGGGCCACCCTGGGGTGGGGGCTGTACTGCTGCAGCTGGCCAGGAGCCCCACCTCGAAACGGGTGGGCTTCAGGGAGAAGGGGGAGGGCCACGTCGAAGCCAGACCGGAAGGTGTCCACTGTGGGGCTGGCCTCGGCCACCATCGCCTGTCCCAGCTGAAAGGTCCAAGAACAGGAGGCTGGGTGGAGCCGGAGGACCAGATGGTTCTTGCCCCCGTCCCATTTCGGGGGCACCAGGCTGCACTCTCCAGCTGAGACGTCCAGGCTGAAGAGGTGGAGGCAGGCCTCAGCGGGGTTGAACGTGTGGTAGCGGGATCCCTCAATGGAAGCCAAGATCTTGTGCTGCGTCTCAGAAATGGGTCCAGCCGCTCGGTACACGAACACCTTGAGGCCACCACTCCTGCACTTTGAGGCATCGAAGCAAGTTCCCCAGTCACAGATGCCACTGCGGAGGGTTTGAGAAGGTGGAGGGGCACCTTCCGGCAGTTCCCCAGGATGGGAGAAGCTCTGCAGGAGCTCTGCATCCAGCCAGCGGGGCCAGCCATGGGGGGCCCGTGCCTGAGGTCTGGGGGGTGCTGCCAGGCGGAGCAGGGGAAAGATTCCCAGGAGGCTGAGAAGCCAGGAGGCCAACAGTGCCAGCCAGAGGGACTTCCTCCTCCACGACTGCATGTGGCCACCCACGGCCAGGGCTGGGGGAAGCAGGAGGAGCAGGGGCCTGAAGGTGGGTGGCTGGAGCTGGGATCACCCTAGCTCAGTGCTCTCATTGGACGGATGGGAAGACCAAGGCTCATGAAGAGCAGGCTGCCTGCTTAAGGTCAAACAGCGAGTCACCAGCCAGATGCAAGGAGGCCAGGTAGAGCCCAGCTTTTTGGCCTTGCTTTCCTCAGGGTTCTGCTTCCTCCACCTTTGCACAACCAAGCCAACCTCTGCTCTCCCAGCAGGACCCCCTGCCCCTGGGCACGATTCAGGCTGATGCAATCTCTGTCCAGATTGCTAGGCTGTGTCCTTCTCTCTTCTTGGCTGAACCCCCTGACCTGGCCCTTGATGGAGAGTGCTATCTGCCAGGCCATGGGGCCCTGTCAGAGCTCCCACAAGAGGTGGCTTTGCCAGGGTGCAGGGCTGGAAGGAGCACAGGTGGTCTCCCCAGTCCTCTCCCAGCCTGAGAAGCCCCAGAGCAGCCCTGGCCACCCCTGTGCCCGCTGACAAGCACTGCTGGGCTGCAGGCCTGTGGCTGAGTTAAAATTAAACCCTGCGTCCCCTGTGCGCTATCACGGTCAGCTGAGGTCAAGGCCTGGGTGCAGCTGGTGCCCCTAGGCTGGGGTGCCAGGAGAGCTGTTGGTCCTGATCCTCTCCTACCCTGCCGCTGTCTCCAGCTCAGGCAGCTTGGCCCCTCCTCCTCCAACCCCTGGAAGCTGGCCCTGCACCCTCTGACTTGGAGCTGTCACGGTGCAGAGGCCAGGGACCCTGCACCAAGACCCTGCCCCATGGTCCCCAAGCCCTTCGGACGTGTCTCCTCCGTTCCCTTTCCAGGCAACATCTGGCCAGTCCAGATCTCCCAGTGGCAGCCCGGCCCCTCCCCTGGCAGCCCTGATTCGCTCCTGGCTGGGAGGCAGGGTCTGCACTTAACTCCTTCCAAACCAGTTTCCTTGGCCTGCTAATCATAACCAGCAGGGACCATACCTCAGTTTGCCATGAACTGTCACAACCTGTCTCTGAATTCTCACATCAACCCTTCAAGGCAGAGGCTTATCACTGTCATGTTTTACACATGAGAAAATGAAGCTGAGAGGGGGGATGTTCTTCTTCTAAGGAGACTCAGCTAAGCGGCAGGGTTGCGGATTGGAACCCTGAGCTCCTGACCCTAATCCTCAGAGCTTCCCCTGGGTCACCCTGGCTGGGGGTCTGAGTGTGGGAGTCTACAAATCGGAAGAGATAATATAAGTGAGGTGTTAAGCAACTGGGTGAGGGTATTGGGCAAAATGCTCCAGACTATTTCCAGGTTGGTCCTCCTTCCTTCAGCAGCTCCCACCCCCACCACTCACCCTGGGGGCAGCAGGGGGGTGGGGGAGGGTGTCTGAGGGAGGCTTGAGCCTAGAGTTGCTTCCTGCCTGAGGTGCCAGGTGTCCTATTGACCAAAGTGCCCAGGCAGAAAATAAAGGCTCACTCCACTGTGGTTGATCTGAAGTGTTCTCTCTTTGCAGCCTGATTCTGCTTCCCTCCACCCTTCCTTTTCTGGGATGAGCATGAAATATCCAGATGGAATGAATCTAGTCTCCCGAGAGGAAGGGGCCTGGAGCACTCTATAGTGCTGTGGTTGGGAGCACGACTCAGGTGCTCTTAACAAGCTGTGTGTTACTGTGCAAGTTACTCCACCTCTCTGTACTTCTGTTTCCTCACCTGGAAAACGTTGATAACAGCTTCTTCCTCAAAGGCTTGCTGGGAAGAGGATTAAATGAGATAATGCCTGGCACAGAGTAGGCACCAAACAAAGGTATTCTTTGTTCCTCCTCAGACCCAGAAGGAGGTGAGATTACTTGCTCAAGGGACACTAAGCTTCCACCCGGGGTAGATCAGGACTAGGACTTGTTTTTTTCCTCCTGCACCCGTGTTTTTCCTGCTGAACCGCCCCCTCCTCGCCCCCTTCCAGTCAAGAAGAAGGAAGACACTTAGAGCTCTAGGAGGCAATCACCGTGGAAACCCATCTGCTGCTTCTTTACTGCTGCTTGTTCCTCCAGCTCTGAGCTTCCCCGGGTGCCTCACTGCACAATTAACCGGTGTGGCTGCAGGAACCTCCCTGGTCTCGGCTCTCCCTTGCTTGAGCACAGATAAGCTCAAACCCTGGCGAAACCCCACAGGACCCCACGATATCACTCCGGCTCCAGCCAAAGTGAGTCTGTCCCCCTGGGCGCCACCAGGATTCAAAGCAGTTCCTGACCATAGTAGGTAATCCATACCTGGACCCCATCTGAGGGAGAGCCAGGGATGTAGCCCAGGGGGAGGAGGAGGGTGGGGGAGCAGATCAGGCTTCTGCTCCTTCCCTAGGCATAGTATGTCACCCTTCACAGTCACACCCTCTTTCTGGGCCTTCAATTCTCACCATCAGCCTAAGGAGGTAGCAGAACTAGGCTCTCTAGAGCAAAAGGGTAATGAATTCTTGTTCAGAAGTAATCCTGACACAGTTCAGAAGGTCAATCCCTCCCTTTCCCATCCTTTCAACACTTGACCTTGTTAAGGAAAAGTTTACAAAACTTAGAAGTGAAGCAATGAGGAGCCTGTGTGATCTTCATCCGTCCACCGGGACGTAACTAAACAAGCCCTCCCAGGGTCAGGCAGCCCCCTGTGCATTCAGGCCCAGGCATTTTATAAGTCTGAGAACTAAGATGTTAATTCATAGAAAACAGACATCCAATAGTGTTACAAATGATTTCTGACCAGTGGAGATTATAGGTTAAAGCCCAAAGATCATAGGTCACTCACTGTAGGGTATTTTGGGCTAGAATCTGACTAGCAATCTTTCTCCAGCATTCTCAATGCTTCTTTGACTATATCAATCAGTCCTCTGAACCAGCTTTGTCATCCTGATAACTTCCTCATGAATAAGTGAAATACAACTTTGGCCCATGTTCACCATGCATTTGCATAATAATTTTTTAAAACATTCAAATGAGTATAATTGGATAGCTCGCTGAGCCACATTTTCCTCCCCTGTAAAATGGGGAGTTCGAGGAAGGAGCTGACAAATTTGCTGACCCTGCACCAGGCACTGTTGAGCTCTTTAGATCCATTTCATTTAAGCCTTGAAGCAAAATTGCAAAGGTAGGGGAAGAGGGATGGGGAGGGAGAGGAGCGGCTTTTGCCCCATTTCTAAAAAAAGATTTTATTTATTTATTCTTAGAGAGAGGGGAAGGGAGGGAGAAAGAGAGGGATAGAAACATCTGTGTGAGAGAGAAACATCAGTCTGTTGTCTCTCACACGTACCCAGCCAGGGACCTGGCCTGAAACCCTGGCCTACGCCCTGACCGGGGATTGACTGGTGGCCTTTCCACGGGCAGGTCCACGCCCAGCCCGCTGAGCCACACACACGCCTCCCCGCCTCCCCATTTTCTAGGGAAGGTGAAGGGATTGCCCCAAGTCTATACAGCCAGTGAGTTACAGAGCCTGGATGTGAACCACTGCACCACAGGGGGTTATTTCCTGCTTCACAGGTTCATTGTGGGGCTGGTTGGATGAGACAACGGGAGGGAAAGTGCTTGGTAAGCGGCGCAGGTGTGCACCCATGTGAGTGATTATAGTCAGCCCAACCCAGCCTTCTAACCAGCCACATCAGGACACGACCCGGGGCAGGGCTCCCCTCCTGTGGGAGGTGGGTCTACGCTTCTGGTGCGGTGGCTTTCTCTCCTCTGGAGAAAACCAGAGGGGATTGAAGCGAGCAGGCATCGCCGCTCCAACCCCTCAAACACAGGACAGCACCCCTGCCTGAAACTGCCGAATAGCCTTTCAGCCCTTGCCGCTCCTCTGAGGCCTATATTCCTGGGCCAGGGGTCTGGCGGGCTGGAGGGCTGGAGAGGCCAAGTGGAGTAAATTTCAAACCCTGATCTTGAAGTCATTCTGTCCCATCCTCCTGAGTGTTTCAGCCTGAATCAGATCTTCTCTGCAGGCGCCAGGAGCCATGCCCAGCCTCCTCTAAGTTCCAGGCCTCCCGGAGCAACCTGCCCCTAGACAACTTCACCCAGGCCTGGGTGCCAAGGGGTTAATCAGCGGGGCCAGCTTGGCAAATGTTTACCTAGCAGGCAGATAATTATCAGTCTGCTTTCCAAAGCAGAGGCAGGAAGATTTATTCCTCCTCTCCTCCCTCCCTGGGGATGCCACTTGGCAGTGTAAACACAGCTTTCCGTTGGCTCTTTGAGGAGCTCCCCAGCAGAGAGGTGGGAGCTAGGGGAAGGAATCAGGCCCGGAGGTGGGCTTCCAGAAGGGGATGAGGGGTCTCAGTCCCATTTCCCTCCAAGCCTGAGGTCCGGGCCCCACCTCTGGAGCCTGGCCTAGACTGACATTCCTTAAGATGTGACAGTTATGGCAATTGATGGAGCCCCTGCAAAGGCTGGGCCCCTCACATACATCACGTCATTTAATCCTGCCTACCACCCGAAGAGCTAGGTGCTCTTAACTCTGCTTCCAGATTAGGGAAGGGAGATGCAGAGAGCTGAACCCAGTCAGTGGGTGGTAGAGTGAACCATGATCTGATAACAGAGCTGTTTGACTGGATGTTGAGTTGTTGAGTCAGGTTCTACTATGTGCCAGGCTCTGTGTTGGACACTTTATTTCTCTCTCTAATCCAGAAGCAGCATTTCCTAGGAACCCCTTTACTATGCCGTTAACATCAGAAGAGTGAGATAGCACAGTCCATAACTGGGGGAGGAAACACAGGCACAAAACCCAGAAATAAGAAGAGATGAGGGATGGGCCTCAAGTTGCCTCGTATAATCCAACCAGTGTCCCCATCAGTGGTCCATTAAGTCCCCGTCCCCTGCTCCCACCCTGGTGCAGGCCGACATCACTGTGTACCTGGATTGGCCTCTAGCTGCTGCTTTCCTCTTGTCTCCCTAAAATACTGTCTCCTCACAGCAGCCAGAAGATTTGTTAAAATGTAAATCCCATTTCTCCTTGGCTGTAACTCTGTATTAATCATATCTTTTTAGTTTCTGTATGTTGATGCTTTGTATTTTGACAGATGCTTGTTGACTCTGGAAGGAGCCCCCTCCCAAGGCTACCCAATTCATAGAGGTGGTAAGGGACTTACCCTTGAGCTTGCCTTTGAAATGCAAAGCAACCAGTCCAGAGCCCAGAGCCCCAGCCCCAGTCACCTCCTCTGCTGGGCACCCCGAACTCAAGCACACTACCCTCCTCCCCTAGTCACCCCAGGACCAGGTACCAGACAGCTCATCATACTGGGCCCAGATGTCCGCCATGGTTTTGCTGAGGTCCTGAGATTTGGGGGCATCCAACTCCACGGTCAACTCAGAGTTGGCAATCCGGTTTTGTAGACCATTTTTTTCCTCCACCTGGTTCTTTTTCATGAAGAGCAGCTCCTCCTTGAGAGCCTTGATCTCTGACTCCAGCTGCAGCCAAGTGATATTGGTGTGTCATCGATGGCCTTTCAGAGCCCATTGATGGCATTCTCCACAGACTGGCATGTTGCCAGCTCTGTCTCATGCTTGACTCTGTAGTCATCAGCAGCAAGACGCACACTGTCAATCTGCAGAACGACGCAGCATTGTCCACAGAATGTGCAAAGACCTGAGCCCTCAGGTCCTCGATGGTCCTGAAATAGTGTCCCCAGTCTCTGACCTGAGGTCCCTTCTCCTGTAGGTGTTCTTGGATTTTGCTCTCTAGTCTCCGATTATCAGCCTCCAGGCTTCTTACCCTCTCCAGGTAGGAGGCCAGGTGGTCCCTCAGGTCACCATAGTCTCCTTCTCTCTCTGGATGCCCCCTACGCCTGCCAGATCCCTGGCCA